CCAGAAGGGCTTATCTTAGCCCAGGCCTCCCACACTGCCACAGCAGAGCCTTCTGAGGATGTTGAGGGCTGATCTCCTCTGACTCAGAGCTCACACATCTACCAAGCCAGGACCTGTCCTTGTCCGCCTTCTGTGTCATGATGTTCTTGTCCTACACATCTCCAGATCAACTTTAGGAAAGCCTTTAAACAACAAATCCTTAGGCTGCAGTTTTATTCAGAAATCCACAGGATTTCATGCTGATTTCCCTTGGAAGAGCTTCATTGCTGCTTATTTTCACTCTGGCTGCTTTTCTTCAGAGAAGAGTTGATTATTCTCTTTGGCTGAGTTTTGCTCCCCACCTTTGACAAGGACAGCTGCTGTTCTCTGAGAGGAGCTCTGGTCTTTGCCTTCATATTGAGTGTCATCTCCTGGGTCAGATCCTTCAGCCTTAGGCATAGACACTTCCAGCACTGGCCTTGCATCCTGCAATGCAGCCTCTCTACCCTCAGCATTGGCCAGTGGGCTCTGGTGCAGACCTCTAGTCCTCCACCCCTTGGCCTCCTGGTACAGACTTACAGGAGACACTATGTAGGCTCCAGGTCTTGGGCCAGACTCTTAGGATCTCTTGTTCATGGACAGATCTTTTACACTCTTCTGCATTTGACTTCATGGGTGGATGTTGTAAGCTAATTTTGTACATTTCTGTGTCCTGCATTACACATTTCTTCTGCAAAAACTGACTACAACACCATGCTTTGAATTTGTTTTTTGTTTTTTGTTTTGGCAGTGCTAATGATCACACATGCGAGGCAAGCACTGTACTACTGAGCCCCTGGCTACACCACCAGCCCTCCCTTGCTTCAACTTTCTAATTCAGGTCTTTTCCAGGGCTAGGGGGGATAAGCAGTCTGCTTTCCTCTTGCCATGCAGGGCAGCGACAGCTAACAGTCAGCTATGTGAGCGTGAGGGAAGCCACTGATTTGTAGTGCATTCTGTTGCTGAACTAACCTCACTAAGCTATAGGAAATGAGTTGGGGTTTTTTTGGGGGGGGGTACCAGGGATCAAACTTGGGTCCTTGTGCTTTTGAGACAGGCAGAGTAACCACTGAGCTAAATCCCCAGCCTGGAAATGAGTTTTTGGCTTATGCAATTTGCAATTTATGAGGGGTTTATGGGGAAAATAAACCCAGCTTATGATCAGGAGTGCCTGTGTAGGTCAGAAGGGGAACTGAATACAGACTGAGTGGGGCACATCATGTGGTACTACGGATTATAACAGCAACTGGAAACAAGGAGCAATCAGGTTTGACACCTCCAAATAAGGAAAGTTCTGACCTTGGCAAATAGCAGATGATGGAGGGGTTTTTACCCACACAGTGGATGACAGAAATGACAATTTGTGTCACAATGGCCTCAGATACACTGCTTTTGCGGGGAGGGGAGAGAGCTTATTCATCCTGAGCAGATGTTAGATGTAATGGCCTCTGCTATGACCTTCACATCAGTAGACAAACTATTAAACATGCCTGTATCTGGTCTCACTAGAGGAACAAGGACGTGCAGGACAATGCAAAAGGGCTGTCTGGAGAGCAGGAGCATCCAGTCAAAAGTCAAAGGCCTGGTGCTCACTTTAGAGTCCATGCAAGTCTGCATCAGGAAGCCAGCCCAGAAACCTGGAGACAGGTGTCCAAAGGTGATGGCAAAGACTGGCCTCCAAAGAAGCAGCAGTGAGACTTCCTTCTCCCCCTTTTTATTCCATCCCAGGCTCAAGCCTACTGGTTGGTGCCACCCACACCCAGGGCAGGTCTCCCATCTTCAGTAAGTCAGTCATCCAGACACACCCAAAACTGCTAAACCAATCTGTTAGGTGTTTCTTGTTCACATTGACACCACAGTGAACTAGCACAATAACCTTTACTAATGCACATTTGATAAGAAAAAAAAAAAGAACTATGTGGGAAAGCATGAAACAATCCATGTTGGAAATAACTGCTTTAAAATGCAATATTAAGAGCCTGGGATAGCTTGGTGGTACAGCACTTGCCTAGCATGTGCAAGAGCCTGAATTTCATCCCAAGAACCACCAAAAATTAATCAATGCTTAAAAACCTAGGTTTTCTTGAATTAAGCAACTATCCTTTTATATTGTTAGTATAATGAAAGACTTCCTTTTTAAAATAATTAACGAACTATTTTTCAGAAAAGATTTAAGGTCACAGAACAATTGGTCAGAAGTTAGTATTTCCACATGCCTCTGCCACACTCCAGTTCCCTCAGCTCTTTTCTTCCTGTGTGGTACTTTTGTTGTGCCACCATTAGTGGGCACATGTATTAGTGCCCGGAAGGTCCCCTGCGCTCCAGCTTCTTACTTTCTGTAAGACACTCTGGGTTAGCCTTCCTACAAAAGAATTCGGATCAAGATTTGCTCTTGTTCAAACCTTGAGTGGCTTTCTTTAGCCCACTGCATGGGACCCACTGTGCTGCAGCTCAGGGCCCTTGCCCCCGCCTCGCCCATGTCCAACTCCATTGCCCACTCCTACAGTGGTATTTTGGGGTGCCCCACCCTTGCCCTCACAGCCTGATTTCGTGCTGGTCTGGGCTGCTCTGTCTATACCAGGGCCCCACCTGCTCTCTGCAGGGCCACAGCCTGCCTGCTTAAGCCATCCTTGAGGCCGTTCCCATGACATTCATTGCCCCCTCATGTGCCTAGCTCCTTGGTGTACCTGTTTCTTTTCTCCTGTTTAGTCACTCTTGCCTAATTTCCCTAGGGGAGCACAATGGCTAGGAGAATATGCTCTGGGATCAGAGCCCTTGTTGCTGGCCTCAGCAGTTGGAACCCACACTGTGCAACGGGGATGGAAAGCATGGGGTCTCCCTGGTGAGGCTGAGTGGCTAATCCATGCAGTGTGTTTCTGAGACTGCCTGGCCCCCAGGAACATTCTTTTGAACATCAGCTATTTTGTTCCCCTCTGAAACTCATGCCACTGCAGTGACATTGAGCAGTGGGACTTTAGGAGGTGATCAGCTGTGGAGAGGGTTAATGCCTCTCTCTCTCAAGGTAGTGGGTTAGTTACTGTGAGAGTGGGCCATTATGAGGCAAGCCCAGCTCCTCTTGCTGTCTCTTTCATGTACACTTGATTGCCCATCTGCTTTCCCAACCTCTCATGATGCAGCATGAGGCCTTTATTACAGGCAGCTGCCTGATTTAGACTTCCCGACCTCTAGAACTGAGATCCAATTAAACCTCCTTTCTTTAGAGTACTCAGCCTCAGACATTTCATTATAGCAATAAGAAAAAGACTAATACAGACACAGTGGGGATGGCTCAGCACCTCAGTAAAGGGATGGGAAGATGCTGGTGTTTACAGAAGTGGAGGACTGGTACCTGATGTGGGTTCCAAAGAATATCTATGCTTCTCCCATTTCACTTTGTTGAGGCAGCAGCACTTGGCCTATATGACAGAATCCTGAAATGGAGCCAGGCTCTCAAAAACAGAAAGCCAGACAAGTGGGATGCTCTTCTGCTCAGCAATCTGAAGGAGGAAGGACAGATTTCCTTCGTGTTTCCCGTAACTCTAATTGTGCTACCCATCTCTGTACCTACATTCCTTTCCATACTTCTTCGAGTCCAAAGAAAAGCCATGCAGCTGCAAGTGTACATGCAAGTTATTCCCCCACCATTCCCCAGGGAACAAGCACATGTACTGAATGGGGTTCAAGACAAGCAGCTCACCAGCCTCAGGTTTGTGTGCCATCCACAGCATCACCATGTGCCTGTGGGTACTCCTATAGCCCAAGATGCAAGGTGGCACAGAGAGAGAGACAGAGGGTAGAAAAGGTGCTGGGTAGATGGCAGTAGGGGTGAGAGGGTGGGGTGGATAGAAATAGTAAAATTCCATCCAACAGAACTGCATGGGGCTGGGGATATGTCTCAGTGGTTGAGCACTTGTTTAGCATGCATAAGGCTCTGGGTTTGAGCCCCAACACTGCAAAACAAAACCCATAAAAGAACTTCATGAAAAGCTGCCTGTGCTTAATGTTGGAGTCCCACACTTCGTGGACAGTCTCCAGGAAACAACTCTCTGCTAGAGACCACTGTTGGTCTGGTGGATCAAGGCCTCAGTGGTGGTCTTGAAGACTGACAGGGCTGTTGGGTGGGGAGAGTAGGATGTCCCTGACAACTCTGCTTGGGATCCACTTTGACCAATTCATTGATTTCCACCACTCAGTTTTGGTCCGGAATGGATATGCCCCTGTGTCCTTGTTCTGGAAAAGGGGAAAGAACACACTCTGCCATTTTTTCCATTTTCAGATTCTCCTCTCCAACAAAGCCTTGCACACTCAAGCCTGGTTGCTTGGAGAGGGAGGGGATAGGACAGCAAGCTTGTGGGACCAAGTGCCCATGGGAACATGGTGAGGGAAGGAAGGAGTCACAGAAAGCTAGGAGGCAGGGTTGTTAGTGGTAATGATCAAGGAGGTTGCATGGGCTCAGTCATGACCAGCTGGCTTCCAGCACCTTGTGACCAGTCCTGGAGACAAAAGTGCCACCTCATCCTTATTAGAGAACAGCCCAATGCTATGTCACTTCTCAGCACTGATCTTTCCCTCTCCCTCTCCATCACCCACCTCCCCCCATCCCTCCTTGCAGAGCCCAGACTAACTTAATTTGCCCCTTTTTTGATGTTCTCAAGTCCTGGTGACTACACCTATCACTTCACTTACCACTTGTTTTACAATTATGTGTTACATGGCTGCTTCTTCTGCGACCTCAGAACAGTGGCTGGGTCGCCCTCATCCCATGCCCAGCCCTGGCATTGTCAGTGCTTACTGATGGGGCGTGAGGGACTGTCCACTGTGACATCTGGACATTTTCAAGGTCTCACAAACAGCTGCATGGGGCAAAGGGGCAGGGACTCTTTTCCCACATGGGGCACATGGGTGAGTGCCGGGTGGAGCATGAGTGAAAAATAAATAACCCAATTGTGAATATCATTTCTGATCAACTTCTCTCACTGTAGATGTGGACAAAATGCAGAGGAGAAGTGGAAGCATTGAAAGGTAGGCCTCCACCCGCTTTACCTATCCGGGCATGGAGAGAAGCCCAGGGGGAGCTTTGGCTTGCAGTTTCTCTACCCAGGTCATCAGGTGTGCTGTGGACCTGCTCTCCATTCTTGGGAGGTTCTTGCAAAAAGTTACTGAAAATTCTTTACAAATTTGAATGTGTCCCTCAAATTCATGTGTTAGAAATTTAGTCCCCTAATTTACAAATTTAGTGAATAAAGATGTAGGGTTTTTTTTTTATATACAATGGAATACTACTCTTCCATATGAAGATGAGCTTCAGGCATTTATAGCTAAATGGATGAACCTTGAGACCATACTGTTAGGTGAAATACATCAGACACATATGCTTGAGTGTTGTGTTGTTTCTCTGGTGTGAGAAACTGAAAGTAGAAATAAGGGTTAAAATTGGGGAGATTAGGTCGGGAGTGTCCTAAAGTTGTGGGTTTCTTCCTATTCTGGGCAAGGAGGAGAGGTCATCCCTATGTCTGGGATTGAATGAATGAGACTTTGCCGAATGGGAAAGACATCTTTGGAATGGTATTTCTTTTTTTCTTTTTAATTTTATTGGTACATTTTAGGTATACAATATAATGACATTCATCATTGGAAACGTTCACCTTTACATACTCTCTTGGTCCTTATTTATTCCCCCTTCCCCTGCCCTCCCTTCAACCCCTCCATCCCTCCCTATTTACAAAGACTTTGTTTCCATTTTTTCATTTTCTCATATTAATTCCATTCCCTTCTTTCTTTCCCCTACCCCTTCCACTTCTGCTTCCCCTTTTCCCCCTTTCTTCCTATGTCACATTATCTATTATAACTTTTAGTCCTTATTTATACTTTCAGTTTCTCACACTAGAGAAATTATTCGGTATTTACATATGTGTATCTGATTTATTTCACTTATGAGTATCTTCTCAATGTGCATCCATTTACCTATAAATGTCACTACTTTCTCATTTTTTATGGCTGAGTAGTACTCCATTTTATTAAGAAAACATTTTCTTTAGCCAGTCTGCAGTTGATGGGCAACTGGGCTGCTTCCAAGTTTTATCTATTACAAAGTGTGCTGCTATGAACACGGGTGCACATATATCACTGTGGTATGATTCTTTTAATTCTTTGGGGAAGATATGCAGCAGGGGAATGGCTGGGTCAAATGGGACTTCAAGTCTTAGTTCCTTGAGATATGTCCATACTGATTTCCAGTGGTTGCACCAGTCTAAACTCCCACCAGGAGTGGAGCAGGGTTCCTCTTTCCCCCACAGCCCCACCAGCATTTGTTATTGGTTGATTTCATGATAGCAGCCATTCTTTCTGGGGTGAGGTGGAATCTCAGCATTGTTTTCATTTGCATCTCCCTAACGACCAGTGGTGATGTTGAACATTTTTTTATATGGTTATTTGCTATTTCTACTTCTCTGTCTGAGAAATGTCTGTTCATTTCAGATGCTCATTTTTGGATTAGGTCTTTAAATTTTGGAGGTCTCATTTCTTTTAAGTTCTTTACAGATTCTAAATAGTAAACCTTTGTCTGAGGAACAGCAGGTGAAAATTTTTCCCCACATTGTGGGTTGTCTCTTCACATTATTGGTAGTTTCTCTTGCTGGGCAGAAGCTTTCTTTTTTTTTTTTTTGGTAGCAGGGATCGAACTTGGGACCTTGTGCTTGCAAGGCAGGTGACAGAACCATGGAGCTAAATTCCTGGCCTTGCAGAAGCTTTTTAATAAGAAGAGATCCTACTTGTTGATTGTGGTAGTTCACAAGCAATTGAGGTTTTGTTCCTAAAATCTTATCCTACACCAATGTCTTCAATTGTTCTACCTAACTTCTCTTCCACCTTGTTTAGTGTTTCTGTTTTAATATTTAGATCTTTGATCCATTTCCATTTTAGTTTAGTGCATGGTGAGAGATATAGGTTTAGTCTTAATCTTTGTCAAGTTGAAATCCAATGTTTCCAGCACCATTTATTTTGGTAATGGAGATCAAACTCGGGACTTTGTGATTGCCTGGCAGGTGCCAGAACCACTGAGCTAAATCCCCAGCCCAGCACCATTTATTAAAGAGGCTATCTTTCTTCCAGTGAGGGTGTTTGGCTCCTTTGTCAAAGACGAGGTGGCTGAGTGTGTCTGGAGTTGTTTCTGCATCTTCTCATCTGGTCCACTGGACCTCAAGTGTGTTTCTTTGCCAGTGCCATGCTGTTTTTATCACAGTAGCTTTGTAGTATGGTTTCAAGTTGGGGATTGTGATACCACCTACCTTGTCTTTATTGCCTAGTATTGCTTTTGCTATTCTAGGTCTCTTCTTGTTCCAAATGAATTTTTGGATTGTGTTCTCAAGGTCCATGAAGCATGCTTCTGGGATTCCAATTGAGATTGCATTGAATCTATATAGTAGTTTTGGAAGTATGGCCATTTTCACTATGTTGGTTCTTCCTACCCAGGAACAAGGGATGTCTTTCCAATTTCTGATATCATCTTCAATCTGTTTTCAGAGTGCTATAGTTTTCAGAGAAGAGGTCTTTGATTTTTTTTTGTTAGGTGGATTCTTAGGTACGTCAGTTTCTTGGATGCTACTGTGAAAGGAACTCTTTGCCCTATTTCTCTCTCAGTGGGTCTGTGGTTCGTGTAGAGGAAAGCTATTGATTTTTGTGTTGACCTTGTATGCAGCTACTTTACTGAATTTGATTATTAAGTCTAGAAGGCTTTTGGTGGAGTTCTTGGGGTCTTCTATATATAGTATCATGTCATCTGGAAATAATGACAATTTGAGTTCTTCATTTCCTATTTTGATTCCTTTTATTTCTTTCTCTTGTCTAATTGCCATGGCTAATATTTCCAAAACTATATTGAATAGGGGTGGTGATAGTGGATATCCTTGTCTTGTTCCTGATTTTAGTGTGAAGGATTTCAGTTTTTGATCATTTAGTATATTGGCTGTTGGTTTTTCATAGATGGCTTTTATCAATTTGAGGTAGAGACCATCTATTCCAATTTTTTGTAGGGTTATCATGAATGCATGTTGGAGTTTGTCAAATGCTTTTTCTGCATCTATTGAGATGATCATATAGTTTTTGTCCTTGGCTCTACTGATATACTGTATTGCATTGATTGATTTGGATATGTTGAACCATCCCTGAATCCCTGGGATGAATCCCTCTTGGTCAGGGTGTATGCTTTTCTTGATGATCTTCTGCATTCTATTTGCCAGTATCTTATTTTGGATTTTTGCATCTATGTTCATTAGTGAGATTGGCCTATAGTTCTGTTTTTCAGATGGGTCTTTCTCTGCTTTGGCGATCAAGGTGATGCTTGCTTCCAGGAATGAATTCGGGAGTATTACTTCCCTTTCAATTTCATTGAAGAGTTTAAACAGGAGTGGCAGTAGTTCCTCTCTAAATGTCTTGTAGAATTCAGCAGTGAAGCCATCAGGACTGGACTTTTCTTAATTGTTAAGTTTTTAATTACATTTTCAATTTCATTGATTGATACTGTCTTGTTTAGAATTTTTAGGTCTTCTTCGTTCAACTTTGGCAATTCATGCTTATCTAGGCATCTGTCCATTTCTTCTGTGTTTTCCATCTTATTGGTGTATAGGTTCCCGAGAAGGTATTGATGATCCTCTGGACTTCTGCTGGGTCCATTGTAATTTCACCCTTTTCATTATTTTTTTTTTTTTTTGGTACCAGGGATTGAACTCAGGACCTTGTGCTTGCGAGGCAGGTGCTGAAACCACTGAGCTAAATCCCCGGCCCACCCTTTTCATTCTTAATTGCATGGATTTGGGCCTTTTATTTCCTTTTTCTGATAAGCTTGGCTAAGGGTTTGTCAATTTTGTTTATTCTTTTGAAGAACCAACTCCTGGGTTCATTGATTTTTTTGTATCCTTCTCTTAATCTCCATTGCATTGATTTCTGTTCTGGTCTTTATAATTTCCTCCCTTGTATGAGCTTTGGGTTTGTCATGTGGTTCTTGTTCTAGAACCTTGAGGTTTAGCATCAGATTATTTAATTCGGCTCACTGTTTTCCTGAGTATTCACTGCTGTGAATTTCCTCAGAGGATGCTTGCATTGTGTCCCACAGATTCTGATATGTTGTCAGTCATTTAATTGTATGAACTGATTTCTTCAATTACTTTGTGACCCATTGGTTATTCAGAAGTGTGTTGTTGAATTTCCATGTGTTTATGAAATTCTTGTGGTTTCTTTTGCTATTTGCTCCATTTTCATTGCTCTATGGTCTCATAATATACAGGGGATAACTTCAGTTCTTTTTCACTTACTTAAACATGTTCTATGAGTGAGTTTGTGGTCTATTTTGGAGAACAACCTGTGTGCAGCTGAAAAGAATGTGTATGCTGATTTTGTGGGGTGGAACCCTGTAAACATGTCAAGTTCATTTGTTCAAGAGTTTGATTGAGTTCTAGTATTTCATTACTCATTTTGTGTCTAGTTGATGCATCTATTTGTGACAGTGGGATATTGAGGTCAATTACTATTTTATTAGTGCTTGTATGATTTTTCATGTCCATTAGTATTTGTTTTACATAGTTGGGCACACTAGTGTTTGGTGCATATATGTTTATGATTGTCATCTCTTCCTCTCGGACTGCTCCCTTTACAAGGATGTAGTGTCCTTCTTTGTCTCTCTTAATCAGTGTTGGTTTGAAATCTACTTGATCTGCAAAGAGGATAACTCTTGGGGCTTTTTTGGGTTCTTGTTGCATGAAGAATTATTTTCCACCCTTTAATTTTCAGTCTATGAGTTTCTTTTTGAAATGTGTGTTTCTTCTGTGTAGCATATTGTGGGATCTTGCTTCTTGACCCATTCTGCCAGTCTATTTCTTTTGATTGGTGAGTTGAGACCATTAACATTGATGGTCATAACTGATATATATTGAGTTATCATTGTCATGAGTTTTTCTTTTTGTTTGATCCTCCCCCTTTGCTTTTAATTTGTCATGCCCAGTGGATTCATTCTGTGGGGCTTCCTGGGGTTGTGATCCTCGTTGTCTTTTCCTAGGATTTTGTCTAAAATTTTTGGAGTGCTGGTTTGGTATTCATGAAGTTCCTAAGGTGGTCTTTGTCATGAAAGTATCTTATTTCACCATAAATTTTGAAAGATAATTTGCAGGGTACATCAATCTGGGTTGGAGGTTGTTTTCCTTTAGGGCTTGAAATATATCACTCCAAGCTCTTCTTGCCTTGAGGGTTTGCATTGAGAAGTCTGCTGTGATTCTGATGGTCTTACCTTTGTATGTGATTTGTTTCTTTGCTTGTAGAATTTTGTTTTTCTGTTGGGTTTCTGGAATCTTTAACAATTATATGCCTATGTATAGATTTTTTTGATCAAGGCTAGTTGGAGTCCTATATGCCTCACTTATCTGTATGTCAAGTTCTTTTCCCCTCCTTGGGAAGTTTTCTGCCATCACTTCTGTGAAGTTTTATGTTGCCTGCACTCTCTCCTTTTTCATTTACTCTGATCAGTCTTGTTATTCTTCTTTGTATCATCTAGCAGCTGCTGCATTGATTTCTCATAGTCCCTTAATATTTTAAAGAAATTTTTCTTTTCCTGGCACTAATTGCAATCTTATCTTCTGTATCTGAAATTCTTTCCTCTCATTGGCACATTCTACTGTGTAAACTTTCCATTGAGTTTTTAATCTCCTGGAAATCTGTTTGGATCTGTTTTATGCATTCCATTTGTTTCCTATGTTGGGATTCCATCATGTTCCTCATCTCTCTCTTTTTTTTTTAATCTCTGACCTCTCTAGATTTATTAATCATGTCTTGCAATATGGGCACAATTTCTGGTGTTGTCTGAGAAATTATTTCTGATTTCATTTTTTTCCAGATCCTCTTTCTTTGCCAGTTCAGGGAGTCCAGGTGGTTGAGTATCAGATTGTTCCATCTTGTTTCCCTTTGGGGTTGCTTTAGGTGACCTGGAAGTCTGGTTCTGAGACTTTTTTACCTGTCTTCTCATTTAAATGGGAGGGGGGTGGTGGGGGGGATGTGTGGTGCTGGTGCCCACGTGGCTCACCTCCTGTCTGCTGGGGGTGGTGGTACTGTGACTCAAAAGTTTCACCTCTTCTGTGCTGGAGGCAGCTCTGCTCCTTGGGGCTGGGGGTGGTAGTAAGGCGGCTCAGAAGGTTCGCCTCCTCTGTGCTGGGGGCAGCTCTGGAATGCTATTTCTCAGGTCAGGGGCAAGAATCCACATAGATGACTAGATGGGGGCTGTGTTTAGGAATGGCACCTTTGCAATATTGGTGGTCCTAGTATCTGGTTATTTACCCAAAGGTGTGCAGTTTAGCTTTTAACATCCACATAATGTCAGTCTGAACCCTTTTCCCCAACTGAACTCTGACTTTCAAGCTGTGAGAAAATATCTCACAGGACTGGGCCCTCCATAATCATCTATCTTCCTTCTAATCTATGTAAATTCCAGCAGTGGTTGTCATATGTAAAATACAGTAAAAATTTATTATACAGTTTCCATTAAATGTTAATGGAAACATGAAAAAAGAGAAATAGGAACTAGGGAGTTCTAATTCCTCAATTTATATATTCCGTGGTTTCAAAAATATTTCAATAAATTTGTTAATTTTTTCCATTTATACTGATAGGTCCTCTTAGTTCATTGAAAAGAAAGTTTTGTGCTCTTATCTATGTTTTTTTTTTTGTAAGAATCTCTCTTGTCTATGACTCATACTCTAACATTTCAGCCATTCTGTTAAGATTATGAAACACAGTGCATTAACTGTTATTTTTAAATTAATTTATGAAATTTTGCATTATTTTCTCACAGAAGACTCTTTTTAAAAAACATTTTCTTGGCCCGGGGATTTAACTCAGTGGTTCTGCTGTCTGCCCCACAAGTGCAAGGACCTGAGTTTGATCCCTGGTACCAGACAAAAAAAAAATTCTAAAAAACATTTTCTTTATTAATATCTACTAGCATTATATTGAAGTAAAAATTTTAAAAAAAGAAAAAAGAATTTTAGTTCCCAAATTAATATGCTGGTGACATTTAAAGGTGATGCTTGGGAGGTGGCCATGGTGAGATGAGAGAAGGGTGGGGATCCCCTGGTGGCATCAGGGGCTTCATGAGAAAAGGAAGACAGACCTGCATTTACAGGCTCCGTGTGCCTGCTGCTGCTAAGATGTGAAGGTGGCCTTCCAGTCAGAGGGCTCCTTGATCTCAGATTCCCAGCCTCCAAAACTGTAAGAAACATTTATTTTCCCTGTAAGTTACCCAGTGTCAGGTTAGTCTGTTTTTGTAGCATCACAAAATGGACTAAGGCACAACCACTTTCTCAGAAGGGAATCTACTGTGTAATTAAGTACCCTCCTTAAAGAGTTACCAACTTTTTAAAAATTGGAGTAACCTGAGCCTGAGGCAAGAGAATGGTGAGTTCGAGGCCAGCCTGGACTATGTATGTGGTGAGACTGTCAATAAATAAATAACTACATGTAACATGAAGCTGACCATTTTATCTGTTTTGCATGGATGGTTCAGTGGCATTAACTACATTCACACTGATAACCTTCTCCAGATTCTCTTCACCTTGACTCAGTATTCATGAGTCACTCCCGCCCCCTCTTCCATCAGTCCTGCAGCCTGTCCTGCTCTGTATCTGAGTCCCATGGTTCTAGATGTCTCAAGGGAGGAGCTCTGCATGCTTAGCACAATGTCCTTGTAGTCTCTCCATGCACCAGACCTTCCACCTTGCTTTTTAAGGTGGAATAATACTCCACTGCAATTTGTTTATCCATTCTTGCTTTGATGGGCATGGGATTGCTTTGACCTTTTGGCAATTGTTAATAATGTTTCTACAAATATGAGTAGACCAGTAAAATTAAAAACTTTATTCCATAATATAGAAAACCTTGCATGTTTTTAGACTGATATTTGTCATGAGTCATCTTGTAACTTTTTAGCCAAACATGGTCCCTTTTGAGTGAATGTGACCACTGCTGCTAATTCTGCTGGGACAATAGGCAAGTACCAGGATTGTCTGGGACAAACTGGGCCAAGGCTCACCATTCTCCCTAGGAATGCAGGGTTGCATTTCAGTGGCATTTGTAATGAACACTAGTGAGTGTAGATTTATGTGTAATGAGACAGTAGCAGTCTGTAGAGTGATCATCTTGATCCTTTACCTGCAAGTTTGTTTACTTTAAAATACAGACTTGACATTGCCTTCTTTTCCTGTAATAGGAAAAATAACTGCTGTGTAAATTTTTGTAAAATTTTTAAGTTTTATATAGAAAAGTTTGCCTTGCTGAAAGTAAAGCATAGTTTCCTAAAACAACCTGGGTTTTCCCCTCTATAGAATGACTCAACACTATTTTGTTTTAATTGTTACCTTTCTGTGGTCTGAAAAGCTTACCTTTGAAAATGAAGTCTCAAAGAATGGCATCTTTTCCCATGGGCAGGAACAATGCAATCTGCCTCCCCCTGCCCTTTGGCTCTAGTAAATCTCTTCTGAGACCTCTGATGAGACCACCCAGTCCCCACCTGGGGGCCTTCCATCGGGGATGCCCCAACCAACAGGGTGGCTGCTGGGTCTGTTACACTACCGCTACAATCTTCTACACATTTTACTCATTTTAGCAAATTATATGTAAAATAGGGAGCCTCTGAGGTTTTGTCAACTCTGGAATCTCCTGGGCCTTGGAAAGTTCTATAATTGTAGCTTTGCATGGAGTAAGTTTTTAGTTATAGATGTAATGAGTAAATAGTAGATTGATATTGGATAAAAGGAATAAGAAAACATCTACTACAGTGTCAATGGTCAGGGGACTTAATTTTCTGACAAGAGTGAGGGAAGCCCCATAGATTTAACTTACTTCACTGTATCTGATGACAGGGCTGGCTCAGTGCTCAGGAAGACTTTCAGCAAGGCCAATGCATGTGCAATCTGCCGATGCTTTTCTTAGAAATGCACCCACTGCAACACTGGCAACAGCCAACATGTTTTCAAAGGACAGTTTCCCAGCTGAGTAATTAAGGACTCCAGCAGCAAGGTTTAAAGAACAGCAATTCCCTGAAAATACATAGGCCACAAGCTCATGCTAACAAATAAAAGTTTGAAATATAATCTAAACCACACAGAGAAGGACAAATATGGTAATATTCCATTTATGTGAGGAACTTAGAACAGTCCTAGAGACAGGAAGTAGAATGGGATTGCCAGGGGCTTGGAGAGGATGGGGAGTTACTGTTGAATGGGACAAGAGATTTCAAGAGTCTGGGAAGATGAAGAAAGCTCTGGAAGTGCATAGTGTGGTGACTGCTACATGACAGTGTGAATGTACTCAATGAACTATAAAATAAAAAGGTTAAAATAGTAAATTTTATGTTTTGTTTTTAAAATCACAACTACAATTTAAAAAGAAAAGAAACAACATATCTCCCAAGAAAGGCAAGTTGATGTGCTGCCTTAATTAAGCAAGCACTAGTTCAAAGGAAGGCCCACATGAAATGCCTAACTTGTCTTCCTGAGGTCAAAGGGGGTCTTTTTACATGGGGAGATTGTGTACAACAGTCTTAGGCTAAGGATGAGGAGGAGCTGGCTATATAGGAAAGTACAAAGGGGCTCTGAGATATTTTCAGTATTTCAAATACCCAGAGGAAATCATATAAAAGTTGAATGATCATAAGCTACAATTCTGAAATCCAAAATCCAAAGCTTTTGGAGCGCTGACACCATGCCACAAGTGGAAACTTCTGTGCTTCATGTAGTGGGTCACAGTCAAAATGCAGGGCTCTAATAACACTGTACAACAACCCCTGAGGGCAACACAAAAAAAGAGACACCATGGGCAGATTTCATGTTCAGGACTGGGTCCCATCCCCAGACAGCTCATTAGCTGGGCCCAGTGGCACACACCTGTAATCCCAGCTACCCAAACAGCTGGGTAGAAGGATCACAAGTTTAAGATGAACCTGGACAACTTATCAAGACCCTACCTCAAAATCAAAAGGGTTGGCCATTTAGCTCAGTGGTAGAGTCCTTCCTAGCACACATGAAGCCCTGGGTTTAGTCCCCAATACTATAAACAAAAAGGCAACCAGCTCATTACATACATAAATTCTCCAAAGTACAAATAATCTGAAATACTTCTTGTTCTCATCATTGAGACACGGGATGCTCCACTTGGACAGTACTTACAAAATTCAAAGTGGAAGTCACACTGTCCTGGCCTTGAAATTACGTCATCTCCTGGTGGCAACAAAGGCATCTGTCTCATGTGATCAGAAATCCTGAACAAGCTGGACATGGTGGCACATGTTTGCAATCCCACTGGGAGGCCAAGGCAGGAGGATCACAAGTTCAAGCCTAGCCTGGGTCACTTAGCAACTTGATGAGATCCTGTCTCAAAGTAAAAAAAGAGATCAGAGGATGTAGCTCAGTTTGAAGGCCCTGGGTTCAATTTCCAGTACCATAAACAAAAAAAGAAAAAAAACAAAACACCCTGAACACCATGGTGAGTGCTTAGTAAAAAATAATGTGGGTATGAATTATCACTCACTAAAACCAGGTTCTTCTGGAGAGAACATGTTTTAATGTATGTGCTGCTGAAGCGATCATGTGGAGAACATATTTTAAAACTTTGTTATTCAAAGATGGTCTGTGAGTCAACTATGGTAGTTTCATTTGGGCCTTGGCCATCAGAATCTGCTTTTAAACAGGGTCTTCAAGGTTGATTTGTACCTTAAAAGTTTGTGAATAACTTCAAAATTTGGAGTCCGAGCTAGGATTGAAGCACTCAGCATGCCCTGAGGCCATGGGTTCAATCTCCAGCAGACAGGGTCATGGAGAATATATGAGAACTTTATAGTGAAAAGGTGGGAATCCTAGTAAGGGAAGTAAAGGCATCTCACTCGGGCTATCAAAGAATAGTTTAAAGCTTAGGGACCCACACTGGTAAGAGCCCTGGGTTAGACCAACATCATGACTGCAATGTCACCTTCACTGAAGACTTCGTGGGGGAGCGTGGCAGTACTGTCCCATAACTACACCACCCACATGGGCTCAGTGTGTCAGAGGCTATGGGTTGGCTGGGTTTCTGCTGAGGCCAGGCTTCTACTGGAAAGTGAGCTTTTCAAAACACCTCCTTGGTTAAGGCAGGTTTGAAAATCAGCCTCTAAGAATAAAATTTCTCTGTGATTATATCATACAAAGTATAAGCAAACAGAGTGAGCTACCATGGTCAAAATTTGATGGAAATATGGCAATATTTCTCTAGATTTTAACATGGGACAATAATTCTGATTGTGTCAAAACCTTTGCTTCCCTAACCTCTTAACTATAGACATCCTGTGTGACACAGGGAAATTGGTAGAAGGGACAAAAACTACACTATGCTGAGCACCTACTCTTAGCAGGATACTCTTTATGTGCAGTTAGTTGATTTCCCCAGTACCCAGATTGCTCTGCAGAAGGGAAATGGCTGAAATTACCTCACCTAGGCCAGGTCATATGGCTGCGGTTCAAATCCAGGTGCATCTCTCCCCCAAACCTCATCTTTCCAGGCCTGCAGAACCTGGGTCCACAGCGCCCCTGGTTTGCTGTGCCCTTCTGGGCTGAGGACATCTGGCCTGTGTCACATACCCAAGCCTCAAAGGCGACACTGACAGTGCTTACAGCTCAGCTTCACATCACAGGTGTTTGTATCTCCCAATCTTCCAGGTATCACAACTTGACAAGGTTAATTTTTAAGGCATTTCTTGCTGAATGAATCTCAGGAAGTACTGGGACTCTTACGGACCTCTGATCTTCCAGGGGTTTTTTTAACCTCCTACTCTTTCTTCTTTGATTAAAAAAAAAAATCCTTTTTGTCCAGTGACAGGACTGGGAAAAGCTCTGGAACAATGGAGCATAGCAGGCTCCTCTGAAATTTTTGAGGGGGTATTTTTAACCACGGCAGCCTGAGCTTTTCGATTTAGCATCCTAACTGGAAGAGTGGGCTTCTCCCTGAGAACTGCTCCTGCCTCTGCATCTGATGGCTCTTATGCTGCCCAGGCACTACCAATGACCTCAACCTTGCACCTGGGGCTTGAGCAGATGTAGATGTGAGGCAGGACAGACAGAACCTTCCTGGTCAGGGCTAAGGCTTTTACCATTTGCTAATGTGGTAGTAGTGCAGAGCCATTTGCCAACAATGGTTACGTGTCTGCTAAATGAATACAGAAAAAGTGATTTTGCCTTCAAGAGCATTTTCCAGTATTGTTCAAGAGATAAAACAAAAACCAAAACAGTAAAAATACTGCTTATGCTAGCTTGAATTAACGGTCCTGTTGAAGCCAGGCCGTGGTCTCCTCAGCTGTCCTGCCCTCATCTCTCAGCCATCCCTCCTTGGGGATTTGTACTCCCACCTTCCTTTCTCCAGCCTACTCCATGCTGCCATCTTGACACCTGTGAACTGTCTCTGATGTCTCCCATGTAAACACCTACAGAGCCCGTGAGATGCCCAGGTCCCCAGCCTTCTACCTGGTCCTCCCTCCTAACCCACTGCCCCTCATATGCCCATTTTTAGTGTGCTTAATTTTGTTCATTTTCTTCTCTCTCTCAAGTCTTCTGTCTTTCAGAGCTCACCTCACAACCTCTAGGTTGTAACCTCTGGGATATCTTATTACAAGTGTACCCCCCTGTTGGTTCATATCTCAACATAAAAGCACAGAGGCTGGAGCCTGATGGCAGGGTGTTAATGGCAGACCTAGCCACTAACAATGTTACTTAGATTAAACATTTCACTCATGTTTCAGAATTTCATATGCAGAAGACAGTAGTCAGACCTACCTGCTCAGCTGTCCCAGGGATGAGCTAGAACAGCTCCTGACACATAAGACACAATGCTTATGATGCTGACTGGTGCCCTCAGTGGAGTCAAACTCTAAGCTCTCCAAGGTCTGAGCAGTCTTTGATTACTCGGGAGCCCTCAGAATGAGAGGAGAGCTTGTGCTCACTACTGTGCCTAAGCAAACTGTTAAGAATCTTCGCAGAGGAATAGAAGGTGGAGCTTGGATGCCAGAGACAGGTACTCCTGGTGGGGTCTTGTTCTTTCCTGGGTATGGGAGAGCAATCTGAGGGCGGGGTAAGAGGAAGCACCCCAATGGGTGTTACCATGAGAGGGGAGGGAATCACACCAGCAAGGTGAGAGCAGGTTGCGATGCAGCCTGAAGGGGCTGTGTGAAAACCGAGCAGAAAAGACAGCAATTACTTACCAGGTTTAGTGGCTACTCCCCTAAACAAAGAAAGGCATTTTTATGACCACAAAGAGGCCAACATTTTCAATTGATAACTTAATTGCTACAAACATTATTGCACAAATTATGAGTGGATCACAGTTATATTAATGATAACAAATTCATGAACACTTGCATAAACTACTGTCCTAGGCTTTGGTGCACTGTGCAGGGACGTCAGTGAACAGGACGAATAAACAGTACTAGTAATCATGAGAATCAGCTTTCAAAATGGCATGTATGTCATCTCAGAGTACTTAATTTATTGATTCTCCTGGTCTTGACACAGTAAGTGAAACAAGGGGGTTTTTAAAGGAAAAGCTGGTGATGAGTATTAGGTAAAAACGTTGTTTACAAATTTTAATGACTGGATTCCGGAACCAGGAAGTGCACACATACTGGGAATTTTAGGAAAAGACCCCCCCCCCATTCTATTTCACAATTATTATACACTCCAAGGAAAACACATTCTCAGATGCTACACTGTCTTCTCTGCCAGTATAAAACACTGCTTCAAAGCTCTAAAATTATGAAGGAAATTCACTGAAAGGGTTTTGAAATAAGATCTTCCCTCTTAAAACTAGTATGATCTTCATTAAATTACAAACAAATTATTTAAATGCTGACCAGGTAAAGAAGCCAGACTACCGTTTTAGCTTTACTGCCTGGAGTGGGCAGCATGTGTCACATACTCAGATGGGAGGACCTGGGCACAGCGCCAACTCTTCTCTAGCTGGCAGGCTGGTGCGGATGTGAGCCTTAGGCTTCCCTGGGGTTGCGTCTTGGGCACACAGAGCCGAGGTGGGCTACACGCCTTTTAAGAAACACTTCAGCTAAAATGAAGGTCTCTGCGTCAGCTTGAGGTCCCATCTTTGAGGAAGCTTGTAGCATGGCAAAAGAAATGGGTTAAAAAACAGAAGGAAGAAGTCTTTCTCACCTTTTGATACCATCTCTCAGAACTACTCTGTGCAACTGTTCAAGGGAATCTTTGCCTGGTACTGTTGAAGGGCACATAAATGAGGCATTTGATAATGACAATGACATTTTGAAAAAAATGTAAAAGACCGTGCCAAACAAGATGTAGTGGTGCAGAGCTGTAATCCAATGACTCTGAAGGCTGAGGCAGGAGTACAAGGCCAACCTAGCCAACTTAGCAAGTGCCTGTCTCAAGAAACAAGAAAAGAGGCTATACCAAGTTAGGGTTGAAAAAACAACATGGTATCAAGTTAGCATCAGCAGGCAGGATTTGTGGCCTCTGATTTTTAGAAGCCACCAGTCTGGCTGGGAAAATGCTGTGGGAGACGCCACCCATAGTGATCTAATGAGCAGACACCAAATGATCCACTTCCTCAACCCTCCCAGGAAGGCAGTTTTCATGAAACAGTTCTAATAAAGTATGCAAGTTATGTGCTGGGCAGAATTTTTTCTTTACAGAACAGTGATCCAAAGAGGGCAATGGCTTTTCATTTTCTGCCCCCTATGGAAAATACAAATATCATTTCTTCTGGATACTAACACATTGGCTTCATTTTCAAAATGCATCACTTTATTTCCCCACCTGGTTGCCACACATTATAAAGCTTAAGCACGTGACAGTCACATGATCTCTTCAGTAAGCTCCAAGGCTCCTGTAAGCTTGCCTGGACTTCACAGCCAGAAGAGTCCTGAGGTTTCAAATATTAAAGCTTTCTCCACAGCCACAAGTTCCTTTGATATTTGGGTTATTGAAGACAAACTCACTGGATAATTTGTCTTCAACATAGTCCATTTCTGTTCCTAAAAGTGTCAGCTGTGCTTTCTTTTCGATGAACACTCTGACTCCTTGGGGAAAGAGAACATGTGTCATATGAAGCCCGCAGCCTGTGGAACCTGTGATCCAAAGCACAGCTGAACCCTAAATAGCAGCCACTAACAAAACTCAATAGGAAGCTTCTGAAGAGGTTTCATGATCTCCTCTAGAGGGTTATGCACTCAAGTTTCCCCACTTGAAACTAAGTCAAAACCAATTAGTTTAGACGATTCTACACAAGTAAATTTCGTGATAACTCTCTGCAAAGCTACAGTTTACCTTTCACTGTACTCATTTTTTTTCAATTTGCAACATGAAAAAATATGTACATTTTCAGTGACAGTTTTGTTTTTGTCGTGCTGAGGACTAAACTTAGACCCTTGTGCATGCTAGGCAAGCGCTCTACTACTGAGCCACACCCCCACCCCTTGCCAATAGTTTTGTAGAGATGTAGTCAATAATATTCATGGAAACCTTGCAATGCTATCTTACCTATACACTCAATCAACACATTGCCATGCCTAAAAATATGCAAAGGACTATTTTAATAAGACCAATCATGTGATAGTTCTGGTTATAGGTTGAAAAAAGTAATATTCCCTAATTATGTAGGTAGAAGTCAGCAGTTGGCAAATACAATCAGTTTAAGAGAGCTTTCCTTCTTATAAGAAATTGCATTATTACATAATATGAATTACACATAATCACAGGTCTTCTGTACGATGAAAATATTAAGGTTTATGAGATTTGAGTTGATCTTAAAAACAGTACATTTAAAAAGTCTTTATTGGTTAGTAAATTCAGTTTAGTAAAATGAAAGCACACTTCACATTCCACACCTTCCCCTCCCACAGGAATGGATGCATGCTAGCTAGGGACACCTCCAATGCACACAACCACTGCTGCAAACGCACGGACACTCAAGTTCCACCCAAGGGGTAGTCTTATTTATCTTGTTTTAAACAGGTTCCCATCACATCACTGGATTGGAACAGGGTTGCTGTCAAATAGAATCATGAAAACACTGAATATTTTAATAAAAATCCAGATTGAGAAATTCTTCAAAAGCATGAGTTGACATTACTTGATATCCATACAAAAATGGCTGGTTGGTTCACTTTGGAGTTTTAAGATCCTAAGGCCTTTCTGGACATAATGATGAGCTTTCAGAGTTTTCAAAATTTACCCAATGATCTCTCACTTAGTTACTAAGAGGACAGCCTCTGGAGAACTGACTGGGTTTCAATTTCACTAGACCACTTACTGTGTGACTCGAACAAATGATTTAACCTCCTCACGCCTCAGTTTCTTCATCAGAAACAGGGCTAACAGGTGTTGTTCTCATTCCAGGGCTGCGTACAGCATACAGGTCTGTCAGGCAGCACCTTTCCCCTCGCACTGCTTACATCATTCTCACTCTACACCTCACTCACCACACTGTGCAGGCTACAAATTTTAAGACAAAAAAAAAAGCATCCAATAAAGTGAAACAAGCACTCACCGTCTTGAACAACTTCTTCATCAGAATCTCCTTTAGTCTTTGTATATTCTAGAGTGTAGGAAAGGCCATTACAGCCCCTGGTTCGGACACCGACTTTCAAACCTACCTAAAGAATAATTGAAAATATAAACTAAGTTTAATGTAGTACAAATTAAATAAGTATACTAACTAAAAGCTTGGCTATTATAACTATTCATTTTCTCATAGGCTAAAATATAAATATTGAATTTCTACTTATAAAATATCCCTGTAGGTAATTTAAATGTAATAGGGAACATTTTAAAAATTTAACTATTAGATAATCGTAACACTAGCAAGGATCCAAAAGGCAACTAAACAAAAAAAGCTAACTAAACAACCCCCAGCTATATACACACACAAACAATACAAAGAAGACAAACTCTACAGTCTAACAAAAGTTTCTCATTTTCTTCCAGTCCTGGTCATAACCAGAACACTTGTTATTATACCTAGACATCAAAACTTTACTCTTGATTTTGTTTATAAATCCAAGACATTATTCTCCCCTGGAATTCCCATTCTTAATTATCATTTGCAAGTAATACCCATTTAACATCCCACTGTACCAATGCATGTTAATTATGTCTTTGTTTTTGCTATGCTGGGGATTGAACCTTGGGACTCACCCATGTCAGGCAAATGCTTCACCATATCCCCCTTATGTTAACTACTTAGCCCTTACTATTAAAACTTAGGTTGGAAATAACTTTTAAGAAGGGAAGTTTTAGTAAAATCATTAAAAAAAAAAACTGATGACAGATGCTTTCTTTAAAATTGCACTTTCTTAAAACTGTCTTTGCTTCAGCTCATTCTGAGGTGTTCTTTTGCATTTCCCTTAGTTAGGGTCCCCCCAAGAGTCATGTGCTACCCTCTAGCAAGCATACTATCTCTATACAGGAGCCTTCATTCTAGGGCAGACCACACAAACATTCTCAAATATGTGAACGCAAAACACTGCAATCGATGGAAATGTAGGAATTTTATAAAGTCAGTTTGGGGGTGTAGCTAAATGGTAGAGGGTGTGAATAGCACATTTGATGTCCTTGACTCAATTCCAAGCACCACCAAAAAAACAATGATAAAAAAAGAAGTTTAAAAGTGGTCAAACAACACTTTCAAAATAGCAGTATCTTGGTGGGCATACTCTTGCTTGCCTGTAATCCCAGGTCTCTGGGAAGCTGAGCCAAGAGGATTTCAAGTTTGAGCCTAGGTTGGACAACTTAGGAAAACTATGTCTCAAAATAAAAAATTAAAAAAGGGGTAGAGACAGAGCTCAGTGATAAGGTCCTGGGTTCCACTCTCAGTACTGCAAAAAACTGAACAAAACACCCCAAATGAACAAACCCCCTCCAAAACCAATGTCTACCATAATGAAATTATCTAACAATATCTACTGACGTTTTCTACCCTGGAGCTTACTTTTTAAGTATGCAGTCAAAGTATTACAATCTTAAGTATCACTTCACCGTAAAGACTGATTCTCTGAAAAGAAGCAATGTGTGATTAAGTGGCCAGTTTTATTCACCTTCAGAGTCCCAATTTAAGGACATGTGAGAGAATTTCACATGCTCAAAATGTTGAAAAATTCCTGGGGCACATGTCATGACTATTTGTTTCACTTAGTTTTTATTTTTGTAAACAGGAAGAAGACTCAAAAGCAAGCAGAAGGCCAAATATCAGGAATGGAATACAGACATGTAAAAGTACATTTACTGGGCATGGTGGGGCATGCCTGTAGACCTTCCACTCTCGAAGGCTGAGGCAGGAAGACTGCAGTTCAAGCACAGCCTGGGCAGCTTAACAATTTAGTGAGAACTTGTCTCAAAATGAAAAATGGCTGGAGATGTATTTGAGCACAAAGGCCCTGGGTTCAATCCCCAGCATTGTAGGGAAAAATAAAAAGTTTTCGATAACGGGAATGTGGAAAAGAGATTGCTCATGCTATAAATTACACTTTTACTTCAGTATGAACATACATTCCTCAATGTGCAAACTCACTTCCTATTTCATTTGGTCACTTTATTCTCCAGTCACCAGACTATCTGAACCAGACTGGAACATCTGTTATGGACTCATCATATTTAGGAGGGAGCTGTGAACAATCCGATTATACTGTCATGCTGACTGTGCAGTGGAACACAGGAAACATGAGTCTTTTTGTTGTTATTCTTTCCACAGTCTTAATATTAGCTTTCTTTTCTTTTCTAGAGACAAGATCTCACTATATAGTTGAGGGTTCTGTGTGCCTGCTGCAGCACACATCCCACAGGTTTGCCACTACTTGTCTAGAACAATGGACCTGGCATACTACACCAAGAACTGTTGAATGTTTACGGCAACAATGAAAGAAAACTACCCGAAATGGCCTTTACTATGAGAAGCTGTTTAAGAAATCAAATCTGTTTATTAGTATGTGCTACACCTGCAGCAATGAAGGCGAAGGAAGATCTTCAGGTAAAGATACAGAAAGATCTTCAAGCTAATCACGGCAAGAAACAAAATGTAACCAGAGCATGTACAGTATGCCCTTGTCTACACAGGGAAAAAAAGAGACAGATACAAGAATAATAAGCACCATCTAAGCCAGTAGTTCCCCTTGGGGAGAGGTTTTTTTGTCTTAGCAAGAAAGAGGATGCTACTTGCACCTGACAGAGGCCTGCGATGCTGCCAAACATCTTAGGATCCACACTGAAACAGCAGTGTGGAGGGTGAGCAATCTCAAGTCTAGCCACAGCACATGCACGGACTATCTCTGGAAGGACACTGAGAGGCTGCTTCTTGAAACAGAGAATGACTATGAGGAGCCTGGGACTGACAGTAACTTCTTTTTCACTGAATATCCCACTCTCTATTATTTGAATTTTAAAATCATGAGAAGGGCTGCAGGTGTATCTCAATGGCAGAGTGCTTGCCTAGCTTGCCTACAGCTGTGGGTTTGACCCTCAGCAATTCAAAGGCAAATAAACAAATAAACAAAATAAATCCCCAATTATTTGAAACATATTGTTTAGCCCAACAAAACTTTTAATTTTCTACTGAATATTTCAGAGAGTTTACTTACATGCTCAGGCTTATCTTTAAGAAGTTGTTTTATCTTGTTTACTGCAGAAGGTGTCTGAAAAAAGAAAATGCCATTCAGTTTTTACAGTACCACAATTTTTACTCAAAGACACAGATTTACTAGTCTTTGCTCTGTCTTTAGCAAATTCACATGACAAATTTATCTTCCATTCACAAGAGGATACCTTGTGTATTTTGTTCACCAACACACGAACGCTACTCAACTAAAAGCACTCTTATTTGTCACAGTATTTTTTAGCAAACATTCTCTCAATCTTGCTCTGCAGTGCAGGTTAGCTCTGAGTCATATTCTTTTTGTATTATCTACTCACATCATGTGGGGGTTAACTGATTAATGGTCAACTTGAGTAGGGACGTCCAGCTGAATTGAATCGGTGTGGTTCTGGGCATGAAGACCCACTTAAGGAGGACTGTTGTCGGAATGGTATAAAGGAGAATGAGAGGGAAGGATTTCAGCTGATCGTCCTTGAAGGAACTTCGGCAGTTCTCTTTGGAGTTCTGGTCCTCACCTTCACCCAGGAGAGCTGCTGTTCTCTTCCAAGGAGCTCTAGTCTTTGCCTCCACCTTCGGTGTCATCTCCTGACTTTTGGCGTAGATTCTTCAGCTTCCAGTGCCAGCCTTTCAGCCTACTGGCACAGACCCTTTAGCTTCGAGATCTCAAAGCCGACTCCTCCATCTTTTGTCATGGATCCTTCGGCCTCTTGATGTGGACTCCTAGGGAACACTGCCCTGGGCTGCAGGCCTTCAGCTGGATCCTTAGGCTCTTTAGCACAGGGACAGATATTTTGCACTCTTCTGCATCTGACTCTGGGTGGCCAGGGTAGGCCAATCTTGTACATTTCTGTGTCCTGCATTCAGTCTGATTCAGAGTATGTACAGTCTTGAGGAGCCTTGCCCCAGCCCTCCAAGCTCTTGAAAGGACTAATACACATCACAAATGTAACTTTTGGGGGCACTTTCCTATTTTGTGCACCTGCATCATGCCCAGCAACAAGCACATTCCCAGACACCCAGAGGCCCCCAAACAGCTAACAAATGAAGCAGGTATCTCAGCAGAAAAGCCAACCTTCAGGTGTTTTTCCTACGGACATTAATCCTATTATTATCCCCCCTCCTCACAATCTATCCCAAATCCACCAAAATGCACAGCGAGAGGACAGTGTCACCAGCATGAACCAATCCAGGTGTGCTTCTCACAGCAGGCTCGCCACAGGCTCACAATGACGCTCAGTGTGGAGTGAACAGCTCAGACCTCTACGCAATTCAGGGATGAAAAGAAAACAGCAGTTGTGCTTTAATCTAGCCCAGGGTGTCAGCAGGTCAAGTAACCAAGTGCTCCTTCTTGGGAAAGGGGCCACTGAGAACAGACTGTCCAGGTGAATTCTTAGTCCACATCCTAGGCGCTCCCCCACAGTCAAATCACTGTGAAATGAAGATAAAGCACCTCTTCCTCAGGATTCCTGTGAAGATAAAATACTGAAACTCATGAAGGGGGTTCTGGTCCTTTTGTTAGGCACAAGGAGCTCAAAACAATAGTCACCATTCCTATAGTGAGTATGTCATAATGAGATGACGTTCTTTCTACCTCCTGTTTTATTAGTTCCTCTAGCTGCCAATGGTGGGGCGGTCCTTCAGTTCTTGTGCTGACACTTCACTGACTTGTGAAATCTCAAAGTCTGGGTATTCTGACCTATGACTTAGTAGTGAACTGCAGCCAGAACTCAAGCTTCTGCTGTTCCCACATCCTGAGGGACGACCTCAAAGTTAAGTTCAGTCAGATGCTAATATTTAAACAATACTGGACTCAATTTGGAAGGGTCATGAAACTGAAGCCAATTTATAACGCTGAAATCAGTATTTTGAAACAATTTAAGAACTGGTCGGGCATATGTGTGTAATCACAACTATTCAGGAGGTTGAGGTAGGAGGACTGCATGTTTGAAGGCAGTCTGGGTAATTTAGTAATACCCTGTCTCAAAATCATGTGCAGGAAGGGAGTTCAATTCCTAGCACTGAAAAAAAAAAAAGAAAAAAAAAAATAGAAAAGGAAAGAAAAATGGAAAAAAAAAAAACCCAATGCACTGCACTTAATAAAAATGGATAGTTGTTTTAGTTATTAATATATGATAAGTTACATGTTTTTTTTGAGAACACAGAGTACCAACCTAAAATAGTTACAGAAATGTTTCTTAAAGTGCTTATTTACACTTATAAATGATTACCACCAAAGGCCAGCTCTCTTCCATCTGTAGATTTTCATGGGCACATTTCCTACATGGGTGCTGAATAAATTAATCTACTATCAAACCAAAAATTTTTGCTAAGTTAAAAAGAAGGCATAGCTATGGGAAAATATGGGGAATTCAAATTCACTGCCTAATCCTGGCTGAAGGTAGCATGTCAGAGGTGGGAAAGGTTCATTACTGCAAGAGCTTAGCAGGAACAAACGGGGCTCGTACCAGTGTGCCAGGGTGCCACTGTGCCAGGGTGCAGGTGTGTTGTGGTGCTGGCGACTGAACACAGGCTGCGCTGAGCTGCATCCCATCCTTTTCTGTTTCACTTTGAGACACCATTTCACTAAGTTGCCCAGGCTTGGCTCAAACTAGCAATACTCCTGTCACCCTCCCAGAGTGCTGCGGTTTCAGGTGTGTGCCATCAGGCCTCACTGGTTCCAAGTGGCGTTCAAGTTATCTAATTTGGTTTTACAAAATAGTAGATGAGCAGTGATCTAGACATATGGTGAATGTTTAAATTAAAAAATTATTACAGTTTAAAATACTTGCTGTAAGTCCCTCTCAAAATACTCTCCCTTGTTTCACACGCACACTACTGCTCTTGCTGCTCTGCACCTGTTCTGGAAGTCAGTCCTCTCATGGTATTCCGTTGTTCTCTTACTGCTGCCTCAATGTCCTGACTTGATTTAACATGCCCACCTTTCATGGTGCTGTGATTTGGGAAGAGCCAGAAGTCTCCTGTTGCCAGATCTGACTGGTGACTAAGGGGATGTTTCTAGGAGTCTGTCTTTCTGTTGAATGGCAACTGGCAGCAGCATTCACTGCAGTTCTAATCACACCTTGAAAAGACATAAATGAGGACTTCTAAAACTACTTGTGTTCAAAGTAAGGTGGAGTATTCTGAGGGGGGTTAATGGCAATGTGTCTTTTACTGAAGTTAAGTTTTTAAAAAATTATATATTCACCACATATAGTACTTTGATCATACTGCATATTTTATTCTTTTCTCAACTCCTAGTAGAATACATTTAAACACGATAAATAAAAGCTAGTCATGGAGAATGGTGCACTTATTACAAAGTTGCTGATGCCCACATCTTACACTGAACACCACTGGAGGGAAAAGTAATATTAAATAAGAATTGGTGCTGGAAAGTGTTATTATAGGAACAAAAACTGCATCTAATTTTCCTGTGGCACATGAAAACCAAACATACTACACTGGGGTACAGTTAGTAAGTACGGATAACCCAGCTAAGTTCTCAACCAAGGGGAAATGACAGTTCTGATGATTTTTGAAGTAACTAATATGCTTTTTCAAGACAAGTCAAAATGGCTGAAAAATGAACATCTGAGATTTTTTTTAAAAAACTCTAGATTAAAAAGAACATTTTTGCATCTCAGTACCAGGCAGACACTAAAGGTCCTATTTGGCTCTACTTATTTCTATTTGCATAATCTGACAACTTTTTTCTCAGATAAAATGAATCTGGAAACAGCATAAAATATTTCAATGAACAAGCTGCAGGGCCCAGCAGCCTTCTAATACCAATGCTCTCTCTAGACAACCAGGAAACCCATACTTTCCCAAGAAACTGATGTGCAACTAATGACTCCTTTTCTTTTTTCTTTTTTTTTTTTTGAGACAGGGTCTTGCTCTGTAGCCCAGGCTGTCCTCAAAATTGTGGCAATCCTCCTGCTTCAGCCTCCCAAATACTGGGATTACAAGTGTGTGCCACCATGCCTGGCCTATGACTCTGTAAATTCATCTGTGATTTGGTCTGTGAATTAAAATTGAAGAAATTCTTGAAATCCACTGAGATTTAATGATGGCTTTTAACCTACTCATATCCAAATCACAGGAATGTGATTCTTGTTTTTTTAATTAATTTTACTGGCACATTTAAGGTACACAATATGACATTCATCATTGGAAATTTGCACCTTTACATAATCCATCTTGGTTCTTATTTTTTAGGAACGTGATTCTTTAGTGAGAAAATATCTTTAAGGTATTTTGGTCCACTTAAAAATATTATCTTCAGGCTGCTTTCATTGTCAAAATTGTAGGAAAAGGCACTGTAGATCAACCTATTTCATAGCAACATACTTTTGACTTTTCCCAATGCCATAGGGTTTCTATTTCTTGTAGGAGAAACATTTTATTCTCAAAACTGTATTTCCTTAAGTTATCCTGTAGACAGTTTTCATTTTGAAATAAAACTTGAAGTTGCTTTATGATTACATATACTAAATATGTGCCAACAACTACAAGCTACTTTAATTAATCTGATTACAAACCTGGTGTTTCAATGTTTAAGATGGTAGAAAAGGTCAGCCAATGCACAAGCTACAGTAACTGCACTGTTTAACAGTGATGGCTACAACTATGGTATTTTCCTTTGGTTTCTTCCTGTGCATGCATAAATACACATATATAATGTTTGTAACCTAGTAGACAGAATTCTGTAGTCTCTATGAAAAAAATTTACATTATTTTCTCATTTGATACATGGTAATCAACTCACTTTCATTGTTGACTGAGTACCTTCCAGGTGTCTGATGTTTTTGTATCATCTTTTTATTCTTACAAGGGTGTGATTTACATATTAAAGATTATATAAATTGCATAAATATAAAATCTTAAAAATTTACAATGAGTCTTAGTATTTTACCAAGATCTACTCTAGTGTGTTATGCAGACCACGTCACGTTTTCCTTTTGATTTTGGTGCTGAGATTGAACCTGGGACGTTGCGCATACTAAGCACTTGGCTTACCCCTGAACATCACTCCTGGTCCTATGCCCATGTTTCTCATAATGGAGAATAACATATCCTAAGTTGCCTTCATGTACAAATTTTAGTTTTTGGTCACTGTTTCAAGGACTTCTGGTTCTAGCCCAATGAATTAGCAGCTTATTAAAAGTTTAGTATTTCTCAGCCTTTCTCACCAGGTTCCAGTAAAAGTTAAGCCCTAAGGCACCATCTGTCCATATGAAATTAACTTCTCTCCATGTCAAAAATACACCGACTATGCACATCATTCTCTCACAGAACTTTGTGCTTTGGGCATAGTGTGAGACATCTCTAAATCTTAAATTTGGGTTGAACTAATTGTTTTCTGCAATGATAACAATAAAGGTATGTGCCACCTGGGTAGTGTTCGAGCTTTTCTTTAATATCTTACTCTTGCTCCTACAAACTGGATTCCATCTGTCAGTTCCTGAGTATGGAGTATATCAATTCCTAGGTGGTAGTGAAGGGGACCCATGCTCCTAGGATGTTTTCCTCAGGTGCTCAGGGTAATTCATGTTAATGGGGGTTGGAGCTTTAAAGTATCCTATCAAGGAACCAGCCCTGTTTCATGGGCAGCTTTCGCCAGCATTAAACCTCTCCCTCCACCAATCCACCAATCCCTCTAGGACTAACACTGGTTAATGCAGATAATTTGGTGCTGACAACATCTTATCACAGTTTCATGTCCTTAATCACTTTTCCTGGCCTCCTGCTGACCTCTAGTAGACTCAACCAGTGTAACACTTTTCAAATACTGCAACAAGGCAAATACCTGATGTCAAAAATTTATGTACACAAGTAACATCCCTTGTTTCCAGTTTTACTGAATTATCTTTACGTTTGCTGTTTTCTGTTCTCCACTCATTATGCCTTTGATCTCATCACTACTTCTGCACTCGATGCAACATGGTGGGATTAAAACTGTTTTTGAAACACCTGAAAACTAAGCACCAACACCAATACATGCCATACAGGTGTCTTGAGATGAGGATATATATGCTAGGGTAAAATGACTATGAGCCCACTAACACAGGCCATGTGGGAAAGCAGCATTAACATACTCTTTTTTTTTCCTCCTGCAAGTTCCTAAGGAACTCCTAGAGCTTATAAAGTCACCCTTAAAACTAAGCAGAATGAGTTAATTTTACGACAGAGCCCCTCAACAGCCTTGTGACTGACAATTAGTACAGAACAGGCAAGCAAGCAGACTGAGGCCTCAGAATGTGAGATGTGTTTATAGATATTTCTTACAAGAATAATAGCTTCGTTAGCTACTGTGATAAAAACAGCATGGTACTGGCAAAGAAACAGACCCGAGGATCAGCGGAATAGATTAGAAGATGTAGAAATACCTCCAGACATACTCAGCTACCTCATCTTTGGAAAGATAGCCTATTTAATAAATGGTGTTGGAAAACCCGGAGTTCAACCTCCCAAAGATTAAAACTAGATCCATACCTATCACCGTGCACTAAAGTAAGATCAAAGTGGATTAAAGATCTAAATATTAAGACAGAAACACTAAACTTTCTGGGAGATAAGTTAGGCAGAACTCTTGAAGACATGGACATAGGAAAAGACTTTATGCTTCAGTAACACAGGAACTAGCACAAAGAATCAACAACCGGGATCTCATCTTATTAAAAAGATTCTGCACTGTAAGAGAAACCACCAACAGGGCTAGGAGACAACCTACAATGTGGGAAAAAATTTTTAGCAGCTGTACTTTAGATAAAGGAGTACTATCTAGAATATATAAAGAATTGAAAAAAATTCAAAGACCCAGTTCAAAAATGGGCATCTGAAATGAACAGATATTTCCCAGACAAAGAAGTAAAAGCAGCAAATAAATATATGAAAAAATGTTCAACATCACTGGTCATTTGAGAGATGCAGATGAAAACAACACTGAGATTTCACCCCAGAAAGAATGGCTGCTATCAAGAAATCATCCAATAACAAACGCTGGTGGGGGTGTGGAGAGAAAGGAACCCTTCTCCATTGTTGGTGGGAGTGCAGACTGCCTGGTGCAACCATTGTGGAAATCTGTATGGAGATACCTCAAAGAACTAGGACTAGAGGTCCCATTTGACCTAGCTATTCCCCTGCTGGGTATCTTCCCCAAAGAATTAACAAGAATCATACCACAGCAATATATGTGCATCCATGTTTATAGCAATACAGTTTGTAATAGGTAAAGCTTGGAAACAGCCCAAATGCCCATCAACTGGAAACCGGATAAAGATGTGGGGGATTTTTTATAAAATGGAGTACTACTCAGCCATAAAGAATGAGAAACTAGAGACATTTATAGCGAAATGGATGCATATTGAGGCCGTACTCTTAAAGTGAAATAGGACACACGTGTGTAAATAATGAATAGTTTCTCTAGTGTGAGAAACTGAAAGTATAAATCAGGGTTAAAAATGATAAAAACAAATAATTGATAATTTGAAATAGGAAGAAAAGGTCCAAAGGGGTAGGGTTGGTGGGAGTGGAAGGGGAAAGGAAAGAAGGGAATGGCAAAATTACAAGAAAAGAAAAAAAACAATGGAAATGAAGTCTATGTAAATAGAGAAGGGTGGAGGGGGTGAAGGGCGCACAGGTAATGGGGAAAAAATAAGAACCAAGACACATCATGTACAGGTACAAACACCCAATGATAAATGTAAATGTATTGTATACCTAAAATGTACCAATAAAAGAATTTAACGAAAATAAAAAGAATAACAGCTTTGTCTACAGCTGTGTCTGTGGAGGGTGGGCACTGTGACTTATTTCTTGTCCTGAAATATAGGTCTGGATAAGTGCCTGCTGAACTAGAAGGAATGGAGAGGACTGGCTGACTCAGAAGTTCTGAAGAAACAGCTAACAGGAAAATGGTGAAGAAAAAAGAAAAGGCAAAAAAACTGTATCCTTCAACTTTTCCTGGCTCTACCATTATTGGTAGAAGAATTCTTCTGAAATCTGAATAATTTTTTCTGAGACTGAAACAAAACACATTCTAGATTCCATGGCGTATTTGCCGGAGACAAAAACAGGCATGTTACTAAGGGAAAAGTACAAAAAAGTAGGATGTATAATTAGGATAACCTCAAGGGCCTAAAAACATTCATCTTTCCTCTATTTTGCTTCAATTAATTTCCTAGCAATAGGCCTTATTATGGCATTAGATGAAACAGACTCCACGTTTCAACTTAAATCATCTGATTCCCTGTGTCTACGTGAATGCCCGCACCAAGACCGGGTATGTGAGAATACTGAACCGATCCTAACGTTGCCTGTCTGGGTAAATGTGTTGGAACTACACAGAGATAAGAGCTGCACAACAGTATGAATCTTCTAAATGCCACTGAATTATACCCTTTAAAAGGGTAATTCTATGTGGATTTTCTCTTGTCTGAAAAAAACTGCACAAGCTGAGGCACGATCTCAAGTTCGAGCTCAGCCTGGGCCAACTTAGCAATTTAGAGAATGCGTTTAAAAAGAGAAAGAGAGAAAAGAAAAAGGGGGTTGAGGATGTAGCTCAGTGTGAGGGTTCAAACCCCAGTACCGCCCATCAACAAACCATCCCCGCCCAGCACCGAGGGCCGGAGCCCGCCTCAGCACTCCCCCCGGCCCTGAGGCTGTTTCGGTGCCCTCCGCGTCCGACCTTTGTCCCAGAAAACGCTGGGAGCGCAGCGCGCACACAGCACTCTTTGTTCTAGACACCCTGCGAGACAGGAGGCTAAGAGGTGCGGAGGCCCGCCTGTGGGGACCCCAGCAACGCCCAGCGCGTCGCAGCCCGGCCCAGTTCGCCCTTCCGCGCTCCCCAGCTAGCCCCGGGCGCGCAAGGCCCGTCGGGAAACGTAGTTCGGGGCGCCCACTGCAGCAACCCCGCCCGGGGCTTGTTTACAGAGGCCACGGGGGCTGGCAGGGACCCTGCGGGGAGCTCGCGGCCACACCCGGACATGCCCGCGGCCTGCTCTCGTCGCTGTGACCTCCCCTCGCGGAGGGCAGACTAGCGTCCATGTCATGGCCTGCCGCGCGCCGCGTGCACTCACCAGCGTGAGGGCGGCGCGGGTGGGCTGCAGTTTCCTCTTGCTCACAGCCCGGACGGTGGCCCGAACTAAGGAAGCAGACATCTTCGCCGTCCGGGCGCCCGGCTCCCGCGGGCCTGACCTTAGACCCCTCAACCTCTCTCCATGGACACGGCGGACGCATTGACGCCACAAGCACCGCACGCGCCCCAGGCCCCTCCCCACACTGCCATTGGGCGGGTCGTGAGTGACGGGACGGGCGGGACGTGCGTACGGGGCGGGTGGGACGTGCGTGCGGGGCGGGCGGGACGTGCGTGCGGGGCGGGGCTTGGATGCCTATTGCAGACAGCGCTCTAGCTCCGCTGGCGGTCGTTGCTGTGACGACGCGGGCGGGCACGTGGTTGCTGGGTGCCGGTGCAGAGAATGAGCTGGAAGCCATGCAAGTCTGGAACAGGGTCCACTGAGCCAGGTTGCCTTGCCCTTGGCCTCCCGCAGGCTCGCCGCGAGGGGAGTAGCTTTTCCGGTTGAAGGGTGCAGAAGAAAGTCCGCGCGGTTCGGGGAGTGTCTGCTCTGGCGAGAACGGGTCAAGGGCGCAGACGCAACACCCATTTCCCTTGTGAGCCGGTACTTAAGAGCGCAGACTGCCAAGGGGTTGTACATACTTCATCCCCACCGTGCTGTGCTGCTGGGCTGCTTCAGGGTGTGACTAAAGCTGTTTTCCTTCTGGTTCTGGACGTGAAACCTGACTCCACTATAGGAAGAGATTGGTCATCCTGCGTACGTTTATTAGGGGAATCGTCACATTTATAGAGAGCACCTACCAGTCAGTATACATGAGCCCTCGTCCTGGTGCTGAGGGGATAATTATGTCTAATTAAGCAGTTATTCCTGAGCGCCTGCATTGTACCTGGCCGTGCACAGGAAGTCAGGTAACCAGGCTAGGCTCAAACTTGGAATCCTCCAGCCTCAGCCTCCCAGAATGCTGGGGTTACAGGCGTACGACGTCACACTGGCTCTTTTTCAATATTTTTGATAAGGAAAGAACGGATAGACGTTTTTAGAGGCTGATCTTCTAGAGCCTACAAGGTCTGAAAGCCTAGTTTAAAATAGGCAAATAGTTCTGTCTTCCTGTTATGGAAATACAGTCGTTTTAGCAGCATTTTTCTCTATAAACTCCAACTGCGCACAGAAGAAACTGGGATCGAGAGGTGGTAGGGAGGTGAGTTTGTCTCTTGGCCTCATCTTGATTAGCTGGGTGATTTGGATAAAGCATTTGACTTTTTTTTTTTTTTTTTTTTTTGGTTCCGGGGATCGAACATGGTTCCTTGGGCTTGTGCAGCCGGCGGAGAAACCACTGACCTAAATCCCCGGCCCAGCCATTTTACTTTTTAAAAGATCGTGTATGGCTTTTATTCTTTTTAGTGTTGTGACATTTTACTTCTCTGCTTCTGCAGATACTATGAAGATTAAATGAGTTAATAATGAAAAACCCTTAGAAGAGAGCATGGTACAGAGCGGTATTCAACAAACGCTCTAATTGTTCATAGACAATAACGATGCCACAGGTGAAACTATGTGTGTTATTATCGATGGACAGACTTGTCATGCGTTTGTCAGAGCCCATACAACGTACAACACAGAATGAACCCTAGTGTAAACTAGACTCAGTGATAGTGACATGTCTATGCAAGTTTATCCATGGAGCTGAGCGCTATGGTGTAGAATGGTAATGGAGGAGGTTGGCGCTCAGGAGGAGTGGAAAAGTCAGGAAATACATGAAATTCTGTCCTCTCTGCCCAGTTTTGCTATGAACCTAAAACTGTTCTAAAACTAAAATTTATTAATAAGAGATGCCATGTATCATATTTTCATTTATTGGCATGCTGTACAGTTGTGTGAACTTTGCAGTTTTGAAAGACAGTTTTTTGTTCTTTTTTTGCATTACTGAGAATTGAGCTCAGGGCCTTTGTACTGGTGAGCTCCATCTCCAGGCCTCTGTTAATTTTTTATTTTGAGACAGGGTCTTGCTAGTCGCTGAGCTGCGCAGGCTAAATTTGAATTGTGATCCTCCAGCCTTTCAGAGTGCTAGGTTTACAGGCTTGCGACACCATTCCCAACTGGCATGTGGCAGGGTTACAAGTTTGAACCCAGCTTGGGCAACTGAGCAAGACCCTGCCTCAAAGAAAAGGGGGGCGGTCTGTGGAAGGCTCCTGGGTTTAATCCCCAGTACCACAAGACAAACACAAAATTGAGCACATCATCTGCCAGCTGCCCAGCCATGAATTGGGTAGTGCAGAAACAATTTACAAATGGTGCTAAATCTCAAGACTAGTCTAATGCATTACATGCTACTTAAAAAATCTAGTCCAAAATTTCTTGATTCAGGATCATGTGTATGTTTAAAAGCCTTTACTCTTTAATTCCCACTGTTCAGTTTTTTGCTTGATTAGGTGTTTTGTCCATAAGCATTACATTACATTACATAATACTTGCCAGTGGATCAGGCATACCTAATGTCATTGGAAACTGAAACAGGCCCCTGAAATAACTTATGTTACGAAGATTCTCATGATAAAAAGTATGTATGTGAGCTTTATCTCAGAGAAACACCTGTCTTATAGTACAGAGATGAAGCGGGTATGGGAAGTGCTGGAGGAGTCTGCAGTTCACAACCTGTAACCACTTTCAGGTGTCTGCTAATGTTAGCTTGTGTAAGGGAGATGCTCGATACTGTTCTTCAGAATTTAGTTTCAGTTTTAAACAACGAAGTGTTTTTTCTCCAGTAAGATCTCCCTTGATCTTGACAACTCTGGAAGGGCAGGTATGACTTCCATTTTATAGGATGGGAATGATCTGCCCAGGATTTATGAGGCTTGTTGTACAGCTGGAAAACTGGCAGGGCTGGACCCTACCTAAGTCTGGAGTTTTACTTGAAGTGTGACTTTTTTGACTGATGCTGTCCAAATATGCCTGGTTTCAAAGAAAGTATTCTGAACATTTCTTAATTTTATTGAGGGTATTGTTTTAAATTGAGTGTGTGTGTGTGTGTGCTTGTGTGTGCACAGCTGTAACATTGTAAACCCCACTGATCCATCTGTCCAGGATTTTTTTTGTTTTGGGGGAAAGATCATTCTTAAAATGTGAAGCACATTTCAAAAGGAAAAATAAAAATGAGTCATCTAAGAACACTTAAAATTGCTTCTTGGCCTTTTGGCTAATATCATGTGTAGAATACTTAAAAACATCTTTAAGCCTGTACATTGCTAATACTGTCCACACTAAGCAAAGGATTTTGACTAGACTGAAGTCTCCTGATCACTGCTATAAAAATTGATTTTATAGCTGGGTGTGTTACACACCTGTAATTCCAGGTACTTGGGCTGGGGATGCAGCTATATCCCCTCCTGCACCCCCAAAAGAAAAGGACTTTATGTTTTTGTTTGTTCCTGAGAAAAAGTGCCAAGGAGGATCTTGGTAGTGGGGTACTGGTGGTGCTTGTTACGACAGATGTGCCAGCTGTATTCAAAAGATAGGCTACGCCCTGCGCCCTGCACACTGGATGCAGCACAGATGCCCCCATGTCCCAGCTGGTGTACTCTGACAAGCATCCATAGGAATGGCCAAGAGCAATCCATTCTCTAGAATGCTTCTCACTACTCAAATGCTACTTACTGTGCTCTAGATCCAGTGTGAGGAATCAAGACATTTCAAACCCAAATACATCGGGCAGAATGTACTGTAGGAATCAGAATAAAATCTAGGAACTTTTTAAAAAAATATTAAAAAATTGTTTCTATGAAAATAAGTTACAGGAAGAGGAAAAAAGGCAGGTGAGTTAAGTTAAAAAAAAAATGGAGGGGCCGGGGATTCAGCTCAGTGGTTCCGCTGCCTGCCTGGCAAGCACAAGGACCCAAGTTCCATCCCTGGTACCAAAAACCCCCCAAAACCTGGAAGTAAAATGACAAAAATTGTGAGAAGTAGCAGCAGAGTGACACTAAAAGGCCAGTCATGTGGAGATTGAACTTGAGAAGTTTTCTAGCATGATGAAAAGCAAAGGTCATGGAGGGTGGGAGACTGACAAAAATGCTATCTAAAAACTAAGAAGATTCTCAAAAAAAAAAACCTCACTGGAGGGACATTTCTATGTCGAGGCAGTTTTCTTAATTACAAATAAACACACAGGAACACCCAAACAGAAAACTAAAGCCAACAAGGGAACACAAGTTAGGCTGGTCTTGACTTCTCTTCTGTGATAATGGCAGAAGACAGCAGAAAAGGGTGACAGGCTGTTCAGTGACCAGAGCTGGCTGCCCAGCTCACATGCCTGAAGGCAAAAAGAAACCAGTTCCACAGCTGAGAAAAGTCACTCAGAGCTATCAGCGTGGGCTGTGCGACCCACGAGTGTGTGCAAACTACTTAAGGAACAACTGCTTTATTTTTTTGCCATAATTTGCAAATTCTAAAGTTCTTAATTTTGATACAATTCTTCTGTAGCTATATAGTCTCAATTAGTTTTTTTCCTTCTCTCGGTACAGTATTAGGGATTGAACACAGGTCCTTTGCAATGAGCCCCCAGCCTTTTGTACTTTGAAGCAGTCTTGCTAAGTCATTAAATTGCCCAACATAGGATTGAATTTGTGATCCTTCTGCTTCAGCTTCCCAGAATTCCGGGATTACAGGTGTGCACCGCCACACACCTGGCTCAACACATTTTCTAGGCACACAGGCATGGTGCTTTGAGTCTGCTCATGGCTGGCACTGCGTCTCCAGCCCTTCTGCTGTCCTCAAGCTTAGCCTGTGGGGTATGCACGCCCTGCACTAGCACACAATGTGAAGGGCACAAGTGCAAGAGGACTCTGTGTGCAGCCTATTAGAGAGGGCGGATCTGCATGGGGCCTACTCCAGAATTTATCTTCCTAATGACATTTAGGGCTCTTTCATTAGAAAGTAATGTGGATAAACTTACAGGTTGAAACTTTGATTTTATTTCAAAATGATAAAGCGAGGCATAGTTTTGACCACGCAGTACTTTGGAAAAGCTTATGACATTAGAGAAACAGTCCCGGGAGGATTCCAGTCAGACCTAGGTGAGTGAGCACACTAGTGACTGGCCCAGACATCTCTTCCATCTTCGGGGTCTTTAAAAGTTCGCCACCCTAATTTGTGAATATCAGAAAAAGTAAAAAAAAGTACTTTTGTCAGTGTTTCTTTTAAAATGACAGGAAACAGGGCCACTTGTTTTCCTGATTTCATTTTTTCTGAGCATAAGAGTTCTGTTGATTTAGCAGTAAACACCCAGTGCCCCGTCAGTGGCACTGCGCATGTGCACCCACAGAGGGCTCCCATAAATAGGTCTCAGGTCATGTTCACTTCTACAAAGAGCATGAAAGAAACGCTCGTAAATGTAAGTACAGTAGTAGCAGTTCACACATATTTGATACCTTCCACACAAGGATTCAGTAAACATCAATAAATATAATTTCCCTCTTCAAAACAAGGGATTTATAGGAAAAAAGGAGTTAATGTACTTGGGGGTTTATCAGCACACCATTTTTCATGTGCTTTGAAAGAATTAAAAACCATGAAGCTATATTCATTGAATACTGGCCCACAGTTACATTTTTTTCTTTTAACCTGGCTTAAATACATACATCATGGCTTTCTATTAAAATCCTTACATCTATGGGGATTGGTGGTATATAAGACTATATTAAAATTTTTTTTCCTCATTAACAATTTCATTATATTAAAAAAAATCTGACATTTCCCTAGAATGTGAAGTTGAAGCCTGATCTATGCTGCTATGTCCTGTGAAATGAACCTGATTTATGAGTGAATACGGACGCCTGAGTGCCAGGTATAGTGCTGTGCCTTCCTCCCCTCACGATTCCTGTGGGCTCCTCTTCGCTGAGGCTTTTCCCTGAGTCGTGTATTTACTGGAAAGGCTACCTAGAGGAGGGGAGAGAAAAAACCCAACAGTCAGTGAAGCCAGCCTCACCTGGCCAGAGTTGTAAAATTACTTCTTATTGTTAATTATTCATAGCTTTCACACTTGACATGGACACTTGTTTGGAATCAAGTAATTAGCCTATATTAAAAAACGTATAACACAGTGTATTAACATTCACTTAGTTAATTCTTTCTAAATGCACACAAGTTGCTAGAGTGGCATTGTTGCAATGCATCTGCCTGTGCCCTTTTTCCATGTGGGTGCAGAGGGTCAGATGAACCTGACCTTTCAAAGGCTCTATTTCAACAGACCAGTGTTCCTCACTGGCAACTAACAGTATAGACTGTGAAGAACTCTCTGCTCAGAAACTCTGCAGATACAAAGCTGTGTATGGTGACAGTGCAGTAGTAACTTACAGATATTAAAGAAAAAATGAATTATATTTACAAGTAAAGGAAAGACATGAAGATTGCTAATTAAACCACAGCATAACACACTTACTAAATTTTGTCCTGAAGTTTGAACAAATAAAGCAATGAAACAGAAGAGCTGAAAAATTCTTAGGATACTATGTATTCCAAGGTACTAATATAATTTTTAATGGGGAGAAGTTGTCTTCCTTCCCCAAGCTATAGTTCCATTTTCATCAAATTACAGAACTAAATGTTAAGGGTAAGCAAGTTAGAGTAAACAGTAGTGAATATAAAAATCATGGGTAGGGAAATATCCTAAACAGATCACAGTATCCTGAAGGATTTATAAGTCAATATAGAAAGACGAATACTAACAAATAATTAGGATTGTTATGGCCGTATCTAGGTGTCCCCCAAAGCCTCATGTGGTCATAGGTGGGGTGTTTCAGGGATGGCTGGATTTAGCATGTGTGAAAGTGGATTAAGTGTGTGATACTGGGATTAAGGGTATGGATAATAGAAGCCCCACCCTGGGTAGAGGTGGCACCAGTCAATAGGCTTGTAGCCTGGATGGAATATAAAGGGGCAGAAAAAAGGAAGGCTTGCGCTTGCTGCTGCTCCTTGCTGCCTCCTGCCTGCCATGAACTATTTCTCCTCTCCATGCCCCTCTGCCATGTCACCCTGCATTGGAGCCAGCTGACTATGGAATGAAACCTCTACAAACTGTGATCTGAAATAAACCTTTCCTCCTTTAACTTTAGGTGTCCAGTATTTTGTCTCAGCGACAAGAAAAGTAACTTAAGACAAGCATAAAGAAAAAAACAACATATGAAAAAGAAAATAGCACAAGTATATGTAAAAATACGCTTAGCATTACCAGTCAAGAAAGTATAGACAAGAATACCACACCAAAGCAGTTTTTATCCATCAGATTTGTCAAAAATTAAAATCATGACAAAAGCAAGTATTTTTAAAGTTAAGAGGAAATAGCTCACACACTGCAGGTGGAAGTTCCCGGTAGGGCAATTTGATAGTATCTAAAATACATATATACCATGACCTAACTATTTGACTTGTAGGTGCTAAGACCTATCCAGTCTCTCATAGAGCCTCCCACAAGGACGTTCACTACAGTAGTATTTATAACACCAAAAACATACAATCTAAATCCTTATGGCCTGGGAAATAGAAATATAAACATATGCTGTATTTGTAGAATGGAATACTGTAAGGAAAAGTAAATCCATATTACAGCAACATGTAGAAAAATTTAAAATCATTTTGTTAACTAGACATAAAAAGGTAGGCTGTAGAACATTCTTATTATATTCTCTAATATGCCATTTAAATGTAAAAATTCACCCAGGACACATATGTAAGAGTTAAAAAAAAAATTCAGAACATTTAAATTTATAGTAATGGATATTCTAGAGTGGAGGGGGACCTGACCGAGGAAATGGGCCTGTTTAGAAGCAAAGATTAAAAAGATACAGGAAAAAAAACCAGTTGTCACGTCTCTGTAAGATGGTTACTGTTATATGATTTGGACCTGTACTATGTTTTCTCTAAACTGTTAACGACTTTTCTAAGACTAGTACTAGCAGTTTTAAATACTACATCACTTAAACATGTAATCTACTATTAAGTTTGAAAAGTTAAAAGTTTTAAATTACACCTAACATCATATAAAAATTTTCCATGTAAAAAATCGAAAGTATCAGAAATGAAATATGATTCTATTTTTATATAATCCAGGGGAAAAATATCAAATTTATAAAATTTTGTAATTCTGACTTGAAAGCAATCATATCTCAGTAAGGTTGAAAGAATACACTGGAATTGGTGGTGGTGGTGAAGAATGTTGAACAAATTTGATATAGAAGGTTCTCTGAAAATTAGAGATGAATATTCTTACCCAAAAATACACATATATAAATATGAAGAAATACAAATAAATATGTGAAAATGTGAGTTCAATGGTAATCACAGAAATTCAAACAGATTGGCAAAATACAAAAAGACTATCCCAGGGAAGTCGGGCTTCGGGATACAGTTGGCAAGGATTCTCTGGGATGGTCAACAACTGTAATCTGGCAATTCTGGCATCAGGGTCGAAATGTAAAAACTTTTTAATCTTTCATATGTATTAAACTTATCCTCACAAAATAATGAAACAAATATGCACACATTATAGGGTTATATAAACAAGGTCATCAAACTTAGATCCATGTGTTCTCCAATCTGTCTGACAGGTTATGTGGGTGAGAATCAGTTTCCAGCTCAACTTTTTAGGTACTAGGGGTCCAACCTTGGGCCTTGCGTATGCTAAGCATGTGTTCCACTGCTGAGCCACGTCCCAGTGTCCCCAGTACCTCAACTTCTCTATGTACTTTTTCTTAAAACTCATACACTTGAGAATGCCTTTGTCTACATTTTGGGATGGTTCTCAGGAATCACTCCACTCTTCCTTTCCAAGTCCCCTTTCACAACCACTCTTTTCCCACTTTTTAAAAGAAAGGGACGTACATCTTATCATCTAAATCTTAGTTGATGTATTTCCTAGTGGTAAAAAAAAAAACAACAAAAAACCTGGCTTCTAGTAGGGCGTTTATGTGGATTTCTTGAAGACATGAATCTGAGAATGTCTCTTAAAAGATGCAGGTGGACTGTGTTCCTACAGTGACTGAACTCCACCTACCTGTGAAGTATGGAACGCAGTGCTCTCCCATAGTTCTTTACAGGCTTACTGTGCTAAAAGGCCTCTTAGGAGACAGTGGGGAGGCAAATAAAATTCTAGTATCTGTGATGATATGAACGCCTCTAATAAAAATTGTAATTTTTAGTTTTTGCCAAATTACATTGATACTTAGTGATTATTACAAGTAATTTTTGATCAGACATTGCTCTGTGATTTTTGGTCATATCATTAAGAATTAAAATGAGTGGCACTGCTATAATAATACATTGATCAGTTTTATTCTTAAAGCATTTCTATTATTTTAAATTTGCTATTATAAAGACTTTCTCAATGTTTGCCAACCATAAAAACAAAGAAACTAGAATAGAAATGATAAGGCACACTTTCAATCATGCCCATGATCCTGACCTGAGGATACATGACTGCAAGGGGAAACAGTCCATCTACCTCCTTCAAGAAAAGTCATTTTCAGAAAGTAAACATGTTTATTTTATTCTGTGGTACTGGAGGTTTAACACAGGGCCTCAAGCATGCTTAGTAAATGTTCTGCTACTAAGCTACATCCCCAGGCAAGAAAAAGTATTTTTTAATCAAAATCTCTAACATTTGTTTTGATCAGTGATATATTCTAATAATTGTGAAAACTCAAAATCAATGAATTTTTTATACTGAGATTTAATAAACAACATAGAAGAAATTTTTATACTTTGAGATTTAGAATCCAACTGATATAAATATTTTTGTGGTAGCTAAGTAGTAAATTATCAAGGGTATCAGAAAGAATGATCTATAGTCTCTGACAGTTTGTTTCCACTTGTTTTCTAAAACAATTTGTTTTAAATTTATGATCATAGAGAATAGGCTTTGAAATTCTGCTTACTGATAAAAGCTGTATAAATACACATCATGTGGGAGAAAAATATCTACCAATTAGTACCTCCAATTTTTAAGATTTCAAGTCATGGTATAAAAATGGAATAAATGAAGTGACAGAAGTAGTTTTTAAAGTAATTTTCTTTGGGGAAAAGGAAGGTAGGGGTGCTAAGGGGCAGAAAAAAGAAAAGAAACTTCCCTGAGATTCTCATACTAGATAAATGTAAGCCATAGTAACAAATTTTAAAATCAGTTAATTTTCCATGTGTGATGCTGCATGCCTGGAATCACAGCACTCAGAAGGCTGAGGCAGGAGGACTGCTGTGAGTTCCAAGCCAGCCTCAAGAGCAAGATCCTGCCTCAAAAAAATACATATATCTACACACATATATATAATAAAATTCAGGCTAATGCCTTCAGCAGAGAACAGCACTGGCAGTGTCCACCAAAGGAACATATCCACGCCATCGTCACTGCCCAAGCCTTTCTTTGCGTTCACTATGCAGGTCTGCTCCACGTGCCATGCATGGTCTCCACATCCCTAACCTGGGGTATGACGATTATCCCTTCTGACAGACGTGGAAAGCAAGGCACGTGAAGGAGACAAGCTGCTTAAGATCACACACCTGCAAATCACCCTGTAAAGTCTGACTGCTGAGCTGATTTTTAGCAATGTAAGCATTCTGACCAAGCAAGAACCAGTGTTTTTGCTACATAAAATGCTTTGGAAATACCTGCTCAGGGCTGAATTTTCAACTTCATTCTTTTCAACTGTTTACATGTGGCCCCACCATGACCCTCCAGGTCTCAGGGTTTGCAGCACAGCTCCCACGGCCCTGGAGTCAATCCCAGGTGACTGGCTGCTGCCCTCACTATCAGCGCTCACCCACTCTTTATGCTCACTGGTTGGAGAGCTCTGCCTGCTAGGTTTGCTGTGGACTCCACCAAGGAGAACAATCCCAAGCCCTTCCAGGAAGCAGCCACTCATCCTCCTGGAGCCTCTGCCCGCTTCTCTTCCTCATAGCACACCACTTCCCTTTCGGGCCTGAGGGGTAATACATGTGAACAGATTTGTTTCTCTCCTATTTCTTTAAAATTCTGATTGTAAAGAGATCTGATGCTACCTTCATCTTTCCCTCAATCACTCCCCACCCCCAAACCGTGTAAAATACACACAGCCAATAAATCCCTAGCTCCATTTAGATCATTGTACTGTATATGCTTGAGATAATACATACATCTCAGTACTAACAGAAGCTTAAATACTTAAGTTAATGACCCCATTACATTTTCTCCTGCTAACAACATGCAAAGCAGAGACTGCTCAGCTTTCCCAGAGTGAGGCTGCAGTATCCTTGCCTATTAGCCTGAGCCAAGAGAGGAGGGAAGAGCTCCAGCGTGGGGCTGGGGAATCTGCCCCGCACCTGCAGTGGCTATTCCTCAGCAACTGACCGGGATGCAAGGAAACTCGAAGACTCGGGAACACAGTGTTTCTCTAATCTAAATGCGAACACTGCTCTGGCAAGAAGATGCAACAGTGTGTAGGAGCTAAACACAGAATACAGAGGTCCGAGAATACAGAATACACCTCCCAAACCAACATTCTCTTTCCTGATTCCCGTTTTATAGTTCTCAGCATCTGTCATCGATGATACTCAATTTTTACTCCTTTATGGTTACTCTTTATTGCCTATTTATTCTGACAAGAATGTGGAGTACATGAGAGAAAGGGCTTCGTGTATGCACCATGGTAGAGCCTGTGTTGAGGCCAGTGTCCTTCAGTGAGAAAGGGAGAGAGGTTTGTAAGTATTCACCCAAGGGGTGCATAAATGAAATGGTAAAGAACTCCTTCGTTACTCTAGTGCATGACAAACAATCCCCACCAGGACACACAGCTGTAAGACACTGGCAACTTTAGAGCAGAAACAAACATATGGGAAGTGACCATTGAAGATCATAGTTCTTACTCAGGGGTAGTGTAAGAATTACCTGAAGTATTTAAAAAATAAATGGGCCCATGCTTAACCACTGAAGAATCAGATTTAGGGGAAGAACACAGGGTAAATGTATTTTTAAAAGTAATCCCAAGGGATTGTGATGTCCAATCTCTGTTAAACCCATTAGTCAAAGAAGGAGTCTTAAATGGCATGTGGTAAAGTATGCAGTAAATAATACACATTTTTTAAAAACCACATACCTGACTGGGGACTCAAAAATATTGCTGTTTTGTGTTTCTTTTTGTCTTCATGTAAAATCACTGCCTAAAAATGAAACAGACTGGTTTACAAAATTGAAAGGGAATGCATCTGAAAGAGACTGAAACCATATCCAAAGAGGGATGAAATTAGGCATGTGAATGATAGAAATCTTCAAGCTAACCGGAAAGACAGACAGGTATACAAACTGCTTTAGCAAGACCCAGCAGACCTCGCCATACACACATGCAAGCAGCACAGAGGGCAGGACAAGGAGCAAACTAGTCAGCAGGAAGGCATGTAAAGCACAGACTCGGGAGGACTTGGCAAGTGTGTGGTGAACGCACAGGACAAAGCAGCACCCTCCTCAGTGCTGAGCTGGGTTTACCTGAGCAAATGGACCAGCTGGTCTCAAAGGGCTAGGTGAAGAAGGGGATCCAAACACACACTGTGACTTAGACACACCTAAAGACAGAAAGCAGTACTGTTTGTTCCTACTTTAAACTGAAAGAGGTGGCCTTGTTTTCAAACTTCTGCACAGATTTTCTGTTGGTATGATACAAGCTCTACACAGTGTGTTGTGTAGACAGAATAGTAATACATTTGAAGAAATGAGAGGGAGTAGAACAATTTTAGACAAAAAGAAGCTGATTATTTTTAATTGCTACCAAAGGAAACACCATTTCTGGCCCCAATCCTCCCTTATCTTACTCAGACCATGCGATAAAGGCTCATGTTCATGTGTACACACTACATCTGCAAGAAACCAGGCTAGGTTTGCTAATCCCTCTACCACCAGGATGTCCCCACTTGACTTGCTACTGCCTTCTCAGGCTGCCAGAATCACTGCTTTGTTTTGAGAGCTGTGGCAATAAACAACATAAAAATTGCTGCTACGGGTCTGGGGATGTAGCTCAGTGGAGCCGTGTATGCCTACCAACCACAAGGTCCTGAGTTCAATTCCTGGTACTGGAAAAAAAAATTGCTGCTAGAAAGAAGAAATCCATCAAAGCTGGGGGAAATTCACCATTTTGTTCTACTGAAGAGGAACATAATGATAACGTACTATAGGCTAGTCATAAACATGAACACTGAGTTCTGATAAAGGATAGTGTATTATTTTAGTTAAAAATATATGAAATGGTATTTCTACTATTTACAGGTTCCTCACCTACAAACTGAGGTTATTAATACTACCAAATTTAATGGGGGCTGTTCTGGCAATTAAACAAAATCATCCATGTAAAGTACATAACCCAAGTAAATAACTCATGAATGTTAGTGAGTGTCACTGTTTTAATTTCCTTTAATTATGCTTTCTTCCTAGAAAAGAAAATCATTATTCTGCATTAAATCCTATGTCAGGGCAAACTTTGCAGCTCTACAGATGTGTGGAAAGAGGAACTTGGCTCTGTGAACCAAAGCTATAATCATAAACATTTCAGCCCCATTTAAAAAATAGACAAAATATTTTAGAATAAATTTCTTTTCCACAGAAAGCTCCTTTAAAAAACTGAAGGTGAGTGATCTAAGAACTTTTATAATGTATCACTGAACAAGATATAATAAAATGGAAGAGAGGTATTAGTGTTCTAAAAACCACAAATATTGGAGTAATTCAATTATAAATAAGCTTTAACTTTTTTAATGCTGCCCACAAACATACACAATTCAGGATGGCTAGGATTAACTACCTTAATAAAAAAATTCATTCTCCAGGGTTTCTTTTCTATGCTTATCAGACTTCATCCACTGGCCCAGGGTTGTTCTCAGAAGTAAAGTGAGCGTATATACACTGCTTTGTGAGTTGTAACTTACTATTCAAACTTTAGGTAAGCTAACTCTTAATAGTGTGTGAAAAGGTGCCCACCAGCTGGGCATGGTGCTGCACGCCTGTAAGGCAGGTAGCTACTTAATAGGCTGAGGCAGGAGGAGTGTGATTCAGAAGGCACCCTGAACAATTTAGTGAAACCCTGTCTCAAAAACCAAAACCAAAACCAAAAACAAGTCAGGGGATGTAGCTCTGTGTAGAGTGCCCCTGGGGTTAGTCCTTAGTACCAAATAAAAGCAAAACAAAACAGAAAATAAAAAAAGGGTGCCTCCAATGGATATTTTACATGTTTAGTAAATGTGGCAATATCCTCTCCAGCAATCACAAGGGCAGGATTTACAGCTGACTCTTTTTAGAAGACAGGGTCTCCTTATATTGCCCAGGCTGGCCTAGAACTCTTGAGCTCAAGTGATCATCCTGCCTCAGCCTCCTAAATAGCTGGGAATATAGCTCTATGAAAACCACGCCTGCTTCAGCTTTGTGGATGGCTTTAAAACTACTGATAATAATAAATTTCTTTTTTATTATCAGAATAATCATGCTCAATTGAACAAACTTATTAAGACATAAAGATAAAATCTTCCAGGGTTCCTCTCTGCAGATATAATCACTGTTAATTAACTGCAGAGCATATTTTCTTCTATTTCCTTTTTTTTTGGAGACAGCATCTTGCTATGTGGCCCAGGCTGGCCAGAACTTGTGGTCCACCTGTCTCAGCCTCCCAGAATGCTGGAATTACAGTGTGTACCACCACAACCAGTTTTCTGTTCTCTCTCCAATGCATGTGCCTGTGTGTACAAAAACACAAATGGCTAACCAGTAGACAGTGTGGTGTCCTGAGGTAACTGGCTACTGCCTCACCAACGGCTGACAAGAGCTTTGATTTCCAGAGTTCACATACTAATAAAGCTCAAGTTGGACCTTTTTCCTGGTTACTGAGGCCACATTCAGAGACACTGAGAATGAACAGACTTTCACAAGACTATAAATCTATTTCTTAAAGAAATACATGTAACTAAAAAAGGAAAAAACTCTAGCAAGAAGATTTTCCTTGAGATGTCAGTGAAAATGTGAAGCTATGATAAGTATCCATACCTGCAGAGACTTTAAGCTGTGGACATTCTTTTCTAATGTGCCCTTCTCTTCCACAAATGAAACAGCACTTTTCTCTTAAGTCTTTATTGTCCTGCCTCTTCCATTTTTCCATGAGTGGCCTGAGAATCTTCTCCCTCCCCGGGTCAACAGCTGCCCTCACAGTTTTGGCTTTCTGAGCTGCACATGGCACAGACTTATCTTCTTTTGCTGATACCTCCCTTTCTGCGTACTTGTTTTGAATTTCTTTCTCCTCCTTGCTTTTTTTGTCTTTGTTCTCAGGATATCTTTGGTGCAGAGTATCTTCCTGATTTCGCCGTCTTCTGACTCTATGAAAAACATAATACTAGTAGGAAATATCTAAACAGAAACCTAACAAAATATCATATTATCACCAGTTTTAGGAAATAGTCATGAATATAAGGCATCAAAATGAAAACCAAGAAGTGAACAGAATTAAGTACATCTCTCTTCAGAAACTACAGTACCCCTTAGTATTCATGGAGATTGGTTCCAGGGTCCATGGATGTGCAAGTCCCTATATAGAATGGTGTGATATTTACATGCCTACACACCCCTTCCTGCATACCTTAAATCATCTTTAGGTTCTTATAATATCTAATACAATAGAAATGCTAAGGAATGGATGATATACTGTCCTGTGTAGGAAGTAATAGGAAGTCTGTATGCATTCAATACAGATGAAGTATTTTTATTTCCCAAATATTTTTGATCTGTTGGCTAAATCTACAAATAGGGAATCCATGGACACAGAGGGCTGACTGTATCTCAGAGCTTAAGGGTGGAGTTTTTTGTTTTTAATTTTGAAATCTGCTCTAGTGCCATAAAACCACCTTTGCAATGAGTGAAATTCTTTAATGCCTGCTTTCATACTGTTATAATAAAAGTCAAATGATCTGTGGGATGATTTCTGAAACAGAAAAGAGAATGCATTAACATTCTTTACTAAGGAGCAGAAATTTGAGATGTAAAATAAAACATTAAGAAACAAGTTTGGGGAATGTAGTTCAAAGGCCCTGGGTTTAACCCCTATTACCACAAAAACAAAACTACCATAGTATATTCCAAGCGAGCCACCAAACGTGTTTCCTTTGCCCTTCTACAAACATTGCCAGGAGAAAGTAGGTTTACCTACTTGTAGCAATTATTAAGATTAAGGAGTGTACAAACGGAGGGCCCTATACTCCAAGAAACCGGGAGTGGGCATGGATCCCAACATTCTACAGCTGGGCTACTGTACAAGGGACACAGCTGAGATCCTGACAGGGGCTCAGTGCATTACTTCTGATGGAAACCACCCTGAAGTTGTCGCTGCTGTGAAAGGCAGACTCTCAGTTTCCTCCTTTCTTCTTCTGTCACTACCAGAGAGGCTAAGTAATGACGAGGGCCAGGACCAAAATCAGGAAAGAGGATCGCGCCTGGAAGACTTGATCACCTGTCACCATCTCTACCTAAAAGCTATGTTTTAATCACTTAATACATTCATTTAAAAAAATCTTAAATTTATCTGAAAACTGCTGGATTTCACACAAGTTCATTTTCTGTTACAACAGAACCATATTTAAAAAATATTTTTTAAAAAATGAAAACAAAAAAGTAAAAAAAAAAAAAACCCAAAGCATTGCTTCAAAACATTTGCCTACTTTCTCCTCATGGGACAGTCCTTCATGAAGTGTCCAATTTTCCCACAAATTCGACAGCATCTATCATTTGGGGCCAGCTCTCCTTCAGTTAGTACATCTGGATCAAAAAAGTATTCCTAGAAGATAAAGATATAAAAGCCTGAATTATTAATGTGTGATCAGAAGAGAAAACGTAGACATGAAAAGAGTGATCTTCTATCTCAATATTCACTTTTTTTTTTGGGTGGTGGTACTGGGAATTGAACCCAGGGCCTCTGCACTGAGCTACATCCCCTGTCCTTTTATAATTTTTGAGACAGGGTCTCAATAAGTCATTCAGTTGCCCAGGCTGGGCTTGAACTTATGATCCTCCTACTTCAGCCTCTCAGAGACATTATCAATATTTTTAATAAATATTGTTTACAGTGGACCCATGGAATTCACAAGAGTTACCTTCCTAGAGCATCTGCAAATTGTGAAAAACTGAAAATTTCAGATATGGTCAGAAAAATGCCTATTTCTATAGTCTAAACCCTAGATATTCTACATCTCCTGCAGTTATATAATTTATTTCTTTTTTGGTACAGGGTACCAAATTCGGGACCTTGTGCTTGCAAGGCAGGTGGTAGAACTAGTGAGCTAAATCCCCGGCCCTGAATTTAATAAATTGTTGTATTAATAAAGCTTTAGAAGGTGCAGGGCATTCTGGTGGCATCTTGGGAATCTTAGGGCTTTAAGAAGAACAAAACTGAGAACACTGGAGATAGCTACATGCAGTATAGCACCCTGTTATGATGTGGGAATGCTGCTTCATCTGCAGAGATGAATTAACAGGGCAGTAGTCAATCAGCAGCAAGGAGAACCGAATAATACTCTCAGATTGGCTACTTGCACACCTCCTGCCAAAAAAACAACTGCAAAGGATATCTGTGGTCTCTGTGAAATTGTGGGGGTTTCCACAAACAAGTATTAGTTAGGTTCTAAGGAAAAGTCTGTGAAGGGCTGAGGCTGTGAACTCTGAACTGTAACTTCATGCAAGTATACTGCATGTCCAGTTCCAGAGGACAGCTCTCCAGTGTGGGCAGTGCTATCAGTTTTCTACTCCCATGAAGTACATTTACTGCTCTTTACAAGAAGGTTGCAAAGCCTCACTTCCTATGAGGGTAGGGTGTCGACAGGCAAGCGCTGTGCCTGGACAGGGCTGGTGTGAAGCTGAGGCTGGTACAACAGCAGTGCCACCTATGAAGGCTGGCACAGATCACCAGCAACAGAGGGCATCAAAGAGAAAAAAACAAGAACTTAACACACTTAAATTCATCTTTTCATGTATTAAGGATATAGTTTTACTTTTTCATCTTCAAAGTTGTTCTACAGTTGCTTTGGTATGTGCTATCAAGGAAAAAAAGCAAAAGTAACATTATTAATTCCCTCACCCAAACTCTACTTCTTCCTATTTCTCCTTGTGATTTTCTAAACAGAAAATTCTTCAGGGATTATTTTATATTATAATCATTTATATTGGTCAGATTCACCAGAACGCCAGAGCATTTATTACCGAAGTAATGTGTATGAACTAGGTGCCTAAAATGTGTCCAAATTATGTGCTTTCAAAATTGTTTTCTGGCATTTCCAACAGACACTTACCATTTTTGAGGGGTAGTCCTTTGGAAATCCTTTGACTGGAATTCCAAATACTCTTCTACCATTGATAAAAGCTTTCATTATAAAATTTGTCACTACGAAGAAAAGAGTGAAATCTCAAATAAAACGGATTAAAAGGAAAAGAGATTGCATTAAAATTTAACAAAGTAACTTACTTTTCCTTGATAATCCAGCTCCAAGATTATGATTCAAATCAAAAGGATCTAAGAAAATTAAAGGGAGCAATAAGATAATCAAATAGAAAATGTTGCTATTCACCTAATAAGTTAGCATAATAAGAAAACAACCTACTTTATTATTAGTAAAAGTATTAAATGACTGCCTTTTAAATGAGCATAAACCCCATAATACAGGCAAGAAATACTCCTAAATACAGTATAAGGGCAGTTTTTCACAAAACTGTTCATTAGAAAAGAGTGTTGCTCTATATTTAATTCCTTAAAAATCCATATGAAAGATTGTCTAATTTTGGAAAAAATTGGCTGAGGAAGACAGGTAAAACTGACTGTTACCAAATGATGCCAGTTTTGGATGCATATAGAAGTTACAAATATATTTAGAAACATTTTAGCCCTGAATATTTTGTCTCTTAAAGATCATGTGAGAAAACAATTCATTATACAGATCATAGATACTTAACAGGTAAATTAAAACACACAGAAAAATACACCTATCCCAACAGCACGTCAATGATGACCTGGATATCAGAATACAATTTCCAGCAAACTTCATATAAAAAAATGCCTATGATCTTAAATATTTGCATCCCAAACATCTTAGATAGCTATGTATATGATGTGCTTTGGAATGACATTTGTTAGATGACCCAGAAAGTGGTAGGAATGATGAAAAGCACACAGATGTCAAAGACATATATAATATGTGGTCTAAATGACCTCATGAAATAAATGGAAGTACAAGCACTGTTTCTAAATCTAAATACTATTTTATAGATGATTTAGTATTTGTGTATGATGATTCATAATTTAGACATCATGTGTTGATATTTAACTATTTCATTCACATGCCAAAAATGACAATCATGAAGGCAAAGTGAAAAAAATGAACTAATCCTTTTTGGGGGATCCCATCATTCAGAAAATGGGTAACTGCCTATAGATAGCATATACGAAAGGAGTGAAGATGTAAAAAGTGGCACCCTGCTTCTAAGAGACAAGAACTGACTTCTAATGAATAGACTAATAGTTTACTAGAGAACAGGACCCTCCCCTTAGTTTTTAACTTTATGACAATAATTGCCATGAGAAGGTTATCTTCTTGTTCAGTGGGGTTCTACTTTCTGCTGGTGATTTCTGTTGGTTTGTGTGGAGGTATTTTGGGTTGTTTGCTTGGTGAGGCAGAGACAGTACTAAAATATTAGATAAAAGCACAACTACTACAACTGAACTTTTCAGTTCTAGAATAGCTGGTTATATAATTATGAGTTATGTTTTCTTTCTAGTTTAGCCTATTACCAATAGCTCATTTGAAAGTAATATAAAAATTAAAAACAAAAGACTTATTAATAAGGTTTCAAAAATTTAAAAAACATTAGTAACTGGCAGACCATAAAAACCTACTACGATAAAGGAAAAAACTGAAGTTCTTTGACAAAAGATTCTAAAAAGTTATACTCTATCCATAACCTAGAGTGATCAGTTTCATTTTACAAATGCTCACAGTATTATATTTTAATACTGCCAAAAGGCAAATGTAGTTATATAACTTAGAATAACCCATATCAATTAGGTGATAGATGTATATTTAAAAAATAAAAGAATACAATTCCTATCAAAATCAGCAAAATATTTCCTTAGCTACATCTCAGCTCATTTTAGAGCATTTTAAACTCCATTTCATCAAAAGTAAAACCCCATAAGCTGAAATAAACAATCAACTTGTAAACATTAACGCCTCAAATGGATCCTTGGATCCAGTGAAAAAGAAAAACCCCTTTTCCTTCGGAGACAATAACTGTGAACTTTTATGTATAATTATTTATAGGTAAATTCCTTTATCAAGACCAAATAAAGAGCTGGGAGTAGTGAGGCACACCTGTGATTTCAGCACTTGGGAGGCTGAGACAGGAGGATTGTTGTAAGTTCCAGGCCAACCTGGGCTACACAGTGAGTTTCAAGGCCAGCCTGAACTACATAGCAAGAACCTGTCTCAAAAAACCAAAACCAAAACCAAAACCAAAACCAAACCAAACCAAACCAAACCCAATAAAGATTTTGAATATTTACTCTTGATGGTGTTTTCCAATCCCAAATTAGAGAGGTTTTATTTTACAAGTCCCACTATTTTTCAGGTTTTTAAAATAAAAGATGATTTATTTGAAGGTAGGGGAAAAGGGGAAGAGAGACATGGTGCACAGCTACTACGGATGAGTAGAGTATTCGAAAGGGAAATACTTGTGGATTTCTTGTCTGCAGCTCTTTTTGAGACCCTTGTCCCATGTAGGCTCCTGAAATATGACTGGCTCCCTGGTTGTCTTTCATATTAAACTTGGATTTCTTCTTGCCATGAGTTTTCCCTGTCCTTGGTGGAGGGTAAGATTATGGGTGGGGGCCTTATGGACAGGTTGCTTAGGGCTAAGGATTAAGTAAAGGAGTCCCACTATCCTGGTGTTGCCTTGCCGCATGGCTCCCTCTTCCTATATGCATCCCAGAGAGTGAAAGATCTGTCAAGGAGAACAAAGACTTTTAGACTTGGAAGAGGGCCCATATGATGAGGGCATCAGTCTTTAGGCTGGAAACAGAGAAGTCAGGCTAGTGTGGACAACAGTAGTTCAGAGCTGCCCCAGAGCAACTGTGTTAGGAGGAAGAACTATACACTCATAGTTTAAATCCCTTACTCAAAGTCTGATTTTATTGGTACCTTCAATAACAATGTATTTCGAGGTCCACTGTTTCTTAAAAGTTGTAAGCAGGCTTTTTCTCCTGATGCTAATAACATGCTCTTTAAAGTCAAATTCCTCTGTGTAGAAACGAAGAAGTCCCAGCCATAGCTGCCCAACAGATTCTGTATTTTTCCCATATTCTGGCCAATAGGTAGGCTAGAAACAGAAGGGAACAAGGACATTACACTTTACAGTGTTAATACCGATATTCATTTCTATCTTAGGGAATGAACTTAGACTTACTTCTCATAAACTAGTTTAAATACATAAAAATGTAATATGACTTTTCTTTCGCATTTTAGAATACCACATATGTGAGTTTATTAATCTCTACTACATGTCTTGAAGATAGGGAGAGCTCAGAGCTCAAGACATCTCAGAACTTTAGTAGGAGGATCTGGAAGTAAGTTCTAAAAGCACTGATGATGCCTGGGTTACTGGGTGTCTGTGTAGCCCAAGGTAAGACTTTCCAAATTCTTGGTACCAAAACCAAAGAAAGTATTTGTTCCCTTGGAATACTTACCTAACCATATGGAATTATTAGGCATGAAAGAAATACTGGAAGAGTGCCTAGGTAGTAGATGGTGCCTAGAAACTCACCTGGCTTAATAAAGATATTTTCACTTCAAAGGAACATCTGTAAATGCTAGTTGTTTTTTTTTTTGTTTTGTTTTGTTTTTACTATTATAAGAGAAATAAATATAATAAGTGAAAAATTATTATTGATCATCTACACTGAAGCATAATATAGCTAACTTAGTTAAGTATGTAGAAAAATCTTTACTCTTAAAATACGTACCAGTTCATCTATTTGATCAAAAAAATAAATATTCCAGCCATCAACAAATATTTCAGGTTTCTTTTCACCTCTGTATATCTGAAATTAATTTTTAAACTATTAGTAAGGATTACAAACTTAAGCACTGATACAAAAACTTCTAGGAAAATAATTAAAAGTTTAATACAGAACCACAGAAATTCAGAGGAGGAAAAGGGCTCAGGGAATAACCAGCTTTATAGAGGAGAAACGTAACTTCTTCTCTGAATACCTCCTGCAGGACGGGAATGACTGGTGGGCTCCGCTGCTGGAGGAAATACAGCACCATGAGAGTGTACGCGTAGGACGACAGGCTGCCCCTGGAAGCGTCACCAATATCGCACATCTGGAAGGAAGGGAATGAACAGAGAAAAGTGCTTCCTGATGAGTCTGCAGCTATCCTATTAGCACTAAAAGTGAGGGCTTGAGAACTAATACAAAAAATAAAATCACATTTTCAAATGTTAAAATGTGCCAACAGAACCAGCCAACCAAACTGAACCCAACAAAGTGGGCTGTTAATCCCAAGTATGATCAGATTATCATGTAAAATTTAAGACAACAAAATTTTAACTTGTATGTAAGGCTTCCCAAACACAGGAAGCATCTGACATGGCTATGGCTTATCAAAAAATGGAGGCATTATGTTTTCAACAAGGTTTGAAGATGTATGAAATATCCTGATAAATCACAACAAGCATACTCACCTTTGTAAATACTTTCATAGTATAACATAAATATTTCACTCTAAGATCAATGGCTGAGTAAGCACATAAAAGTCTTGTGTTATGAAGGGCCTGTTAAAAGAGAAATTACACTTTAAGGCTACCAGGTAAAAAACATTTAAACTGGAATATTCCTGAAAGGCTTACACTGTGACATATTTTAAGATATTGAGATTAACTTGTCATTCCAAAGACAAGCCTTGTTAATTTGCCAGATAATAATGAAGAATTTTGAGTAAAATCTGACCTTATGACTTCCAATATCTTTTTATGTGCTTAGCCTGAAATCTAGAAAATAAGGACTATTAAAATAAACAATCAGTGCTCATGAAATGGATCTAAAATTCCCTTTCCTGCCTGGTGGCATTATTTTAACTAAATGCCCTTAGGGATCAGAGAAGTCCCACGAAACCCTGAAGCAAACTCTTGAGTCAGTCAGACCAAAAGAGAGGTTGCGACACCTGGATTATATCTGAAAGGATGCCTCCAAAAAGACACCCTACCCCAAATTACAACAAACTCCAAGCCAAGTAAGACCCTACCACCCTAAGTAAATAGGAATCTCAGCTGAATCCTCTGTTATGTTCTCAGTCTTGAAAACTGCTAGGGCACAATAAGCACTTATGGATAAAACTTTTTTTTTTAAAGTAGGATTGAACCCAGGGTCTTTACATGGAGTTACATTCCCAGCATTTTTTCTTTTTTAATTTTGACACAGGGTCTTGCTAAGTTGCTAAATTACCCAGACTGGGCTGTAAACTTGTGATCCTCCTGCCTCAGTCTTCCAGAGTGCTGGGATTCCAGGTGTGCACCACCATGCCCTGCTCATAAATAACTCTTGGAAGAATGAATAAGATGAAGTAAATGGCTCATTTAACTTCAGAGTTATTAAGACACATTTCTCTTAACATCCTTAAAGAAAAAGCCTGCAGAAAATCTTACCAATGTGTTATATAAACTGATATCCACTTCCAGACCACTTCTCAAATGGAAGAATTTCACAATTGGCACCTTTGCTGTTGTAATAGGTAGGATGTTTCTCAAACCTAGGTTGGGAAATAAGACAGTATGATTAAATATGGCAGCTGGGTATAAATGTGGTTCTTATGCTAATGTATTAATATAAAAATGATGTAAACCTAATTTTAACTTGTTTTACTACATTCTCTAGGACTATTTGTGGGGAGCAATGCTACATAATTTTAGGGAAAAATCATTTGATTAGGCCTAGTTCTCCTGCCTACAGGCCAGATATGGCATTTCGAGACATAATTCCATTTTGGCCTCCGGTCACAACTGAGACCTCCATGATCCAGTGATGCTCCAGGACAAGACTACACCAGCTAAAGACATCCTGGGAGGAACAAAACCTTCATCTACTCAGTTCCTCATTGTTCTTGGATTTCCACCGACCACCAGTCATTCCTTACACTTTGTTTATCCTGATGTACTGAACTCTCTGCAAGTCATTTGTTACACCTGTTTCTCCTGATGTACTGAATAAAAGGTGCAGTAAGCTGGGGGCTGTCATTTTTGCCACCCACAGCAGCACTGATCAAGCCCAAAGCTCGGCTTCTTCTCAAACTCTCATTTTTTCTACCTTTCCTGAATAATAAGTTAATTCACCTGGTGCTGCTGCGGCTCGCAGGAGACTAGGACTCACTGCAGAGGTTCTAGTAACGTCCCCTTTCCTTGTTCCCTACAACTATTGAGAATTCTGCTCCTAACAACCATCTGGAAAGACTCTTCAGACCAAGTTTACATTTGTTAAACATGCATATTTGCATTACAAGGAATTAAAAGTTGGTCACTATCCTGCAGGAGCTTACTGGATCCTGAGTGTGTGTGTGCTCTCATGGTGTACACAGGGTTGTCAGTCTGGCAAACTGACTAATACAGACTCTGGACCACACATCACTTTCTTATTTTCTCCGTAGGACCATATCTAACTTGGAGAAAAGCCTATGGGAAAATCACACGAATTCACACAAAGAAAGTTATTCACCCATGAGCTGGAAATTATGAAAGTAAAACGAAGAACTGAATTTCAATGAGAGAGAAGGGAACTGCCTGGAGTTAGGCTTTGAAAAAGGGCAGAGGCTGTAGGGATGTACTGGTCAAAAGAAATAGCACACAAAAAGGGTAAATGTCTGAAACAGAATGACACACCTGGGAACTTCCATGGAACTATGCAGACTGGAGAACAGACTTGAGGGAAAGGGATAAGAGTAATAATAGATGGGCCAGGGATTTAGGTCAGTGGCCCTGCGACTTGCCTGGCAAGCCCAAAGTCCTAAGTTCGATTCCCAGTACCATAAGATAACAGATGGGGAAGAAACTGGGAAAACCCAAACAAAGACCCCTATATGTTCTGCTAAGAATCATGCTTGGAGACACTGAGAAGCCAATGAACTGGCAGCGGTGGGAAGTTCAACAGTGGCCCTGGCAATGCAGAGACTGCAGGTACTGTGACACAGGCAGGTTGGCCACTTAAAAACATCTAGGTCTGAATGAACACAATGGCGTGGGAATGCAGAGATGAAGCAAGAATTCTGTGAGTGCATCTAGAGTCCACAGGAGGAGGGGCAATGGAGAGAGGCAGCTGAACATTTCCTGAGCACCAAATGTGGAAAGAGCCCTTCACAGACATTTCCTCCTGACATTCATCACCCTGACCTTACGGAGGCTACAAAGAGGCCCAGAAACTCACTTAGAAATATGACTCCGGTAAGCTGTGGAGCTGAAACTCAAATTGAGACCAGACAGCTTCTATACTCCTACTGAATCAAGTCTAAGTCAGGCTAATGATCATTTCACTAATTTGGTGATTCCAAGGATGCCAATGTCTATGATCAAGAAAGAGGATTCAGAAGGGCAGATACCGGTGGTGTTTGCAGCAGAAGGGAGGCAGTAAAGAAAAAGATGAGTTCACTCAAGAGGCTGGAGTTTGAGTTTCTTTTGGGAGAGTTAAGTGATATCTAGAAAGCAGATAGCATATTACCCCCAAAATAAGACCTAACAGGAAAATAATCCTTAGCATAATTTTTCAGGGTGCTCATAGTATGTCCTACTCCAAAAATAAGCCCTAATTAAGATTGTCAGACTGACAGATTCAGTACATCTGTTGAAATACATGATGAATGCACTGAATTATAAAATAATATTCATATATAATTAAATATAAATAACATTGACATTAATAAACAAATGATACTATAAATTATAACTAAGTATAACTTGAGTCTTACTGCCAAATGACCAGAGTACAGACAGATGAGTGACGCATGCACTTGATAACAAACAGTCACGACTGTGTCTAATATGAATGTCCATAATTCAATGTCTTGTGTTGTAATGATTGTACATAATCCACTTGTATGAAATAAACGTTTTCTGAATTTTGGTGCCTCCAATATTTTGTTGCTTTTGTCTGGACTATCATTCTTAACTGTCATCATTTTTGTTGCCACTTCTGTCTTGTACATCTTCCACTGATTCAATGGAAACTTTGTGAAACCAGCCTGCAAGAGGTCCTGACTTGAATGAATAATTCATGAATGAATAATCACTGACAGCTGTGCTGCCAATGCACTATGAGCAGCATACATAGATAATTAAGTGCTCATTTAATGACAACCCTATTGCTGGACATGAGAGACTGGGGCCAGTGTTTCTACAGGAAATGAAGTCACAAGAAATTCAGAATGAAATTTGGGTCTTGGAGGGTTGTGATGATGTTCTAGAAGATAATATGGCTATCTGAATAGATGATTGTAGATGAATAAATGTAGATTGCTGTACATGAAAAAGTAAGACATCCCCTGAAAATAAAACCTACTGCATCTTTTGGAGCAAAATTAATGTTAAGATCCGGTCTTATTTTCAGGGAAATATGGTATACAGTGGTCACATCACAGAAATTAGAAAAAAAGTAAGTAGATGATGAAAGGTACTTCAGGAAAACAGGCCTATGCAGGAATAGAGGAACTCCAACTCACACTGTGGAGAAGAGTAATAAAGAAGCTCAATCTAGTAACTATTTAGAATATGTTAGACTCTGTATAGATGAGGAACAGGATGCTCATAATGAGGCTGAGTGATCACACCAGCAGCAAGTGGGAGGTCAGGACCAAAACTACAAAGCTGGGCCTGGGATGTAGCTCAGTGATAGAGTATATGCTTTGAGCGTGATCCTTAGCACTAAAAAGCAAAAAACAAAAACCCCACAGAATCAGATTCCAGAATTCTCAGCTACTTTGCTGTTCTGCCTCTAAATCAGACAAACCCTCTCCTTCCTGTTTAGGGATTCAACACTTTTATTATAAGATAGTACTAAGATTTATTCATAGCAAATCATCCTGGTTCTTTTTTTATCATTCCAAAGGTTCCCTTTTCAGTCTATGTTCTTAATTTCTATGAACTGAAATTAAGGTTTAGTCCTTGACCTCTTTCCAGTGATCCTTTGGCACTGTTTTAGTTTTCATATCCGTCTCAGTATCTCTCAGGCTTCTGATGCTAAAACTTTTATCGTCATCTTCAATCCTGACAAGTTCATATTTTTAACTGCTTGCTGGTCTGTTAACTCTTGAGAGGTAATACTTTCATAGCAAATCAAATACTTCCAAACAGGTATTTACTCTAAACATTCTCATTCCTCTGATACTCAGATATTAGCCTCAACCTTTATTTCCTACCTGTAAGTACTAAAAGAAAAGAAATTCTCTTTGGAATCACTCATCTTTTAACTAGCACTCTGCCTGAGTCATTCTTCCCCAATACCTGTACTGCTCCTTCCCTAAGACAGCCTATACCACTTGGCCAAAAAGCTTATGTTTTGCTTTAACTGACCTCCACCCCAAGAAATGTCAGTGGCTTCCAAATACCTGCCCTTCACCTTATCTCCTATTTCCCACTTGAAATTCCTCTCCAAAGGTACCAATCTCACTACCCTTTAAAATACGCTACCATAATTCCCATGTTCATATCTACACATGGTTAAGAATGACTTCTCTTCCCACCTTGGAAAAATTATATCCTCATCATCACCTGAGATGAGAATATACCCACCTTTTTTTGGACTATCCACATGTGACTCTTTCTCATAATCTCTCTCCTCAGAAGTCATTTAATTCTCAGTACAGCCTATATTACTCATTTGGTGATAGGGGAATACTACGTTAATTTTACCCAGTTTGTGAAATGATCTTACTTCTTATGATCTGAAAGCTGTCTAAAGAAAGACTTATGTAGATTTCTTTACTTTTCCACTATTTTTAAGTGCCCAGTACAATGCTGAGCAAACAGTATGTACCAATAAATGTTTTAAACACCGTCCTCTATCTATTAATAAGTTCTTGGCCATGTAATCTGCATCTATGCCTCTGTGTGTCTAAGTCATTCTCATCTAGAGACAGTCCGTCCTTAACATGGTTCATCCTTGAGGAAATACACACTGAAGAACCCAGGAAGAAGAACATGATGTCTGTAGCAAATCTCAAATGGGCCACAAAGAAACTGAGAACAAGCAATGATCAATGATAAAAGGCTGAAATTTAGCTCAGCAATAAAAAAACACTTGTGGCAACATAGTGCTTAAACATCTTTGCATAACCTTTGAGACAAAACCAAAACAAAACAAACAAGCCCACATGATCTTTAGAGGTAGAATTCTGAGGAAAATATCTTTTCAATGACTAAAGCAAATTATAGCAATGTACAATAAAAAATATACCCAATGGTTTGGGAATACATCAAAATTAAGATTTTTAAAAAATATTTAAAACTGGGGGCCACTCAAGGTGTATGTCTGTGTGTCTGTGGCAATGCTGTAAATTCAAGTCTACTCCTGACTGAAATGCAAGACAGCTTTTCACAAATAGACTAGATTTTAAGTTCCATGTGGACAGGGACTGTATCTTGTTTCCCTTCAATTTCAGCTCTCAGAGCACAGTACTTGTGGAAGTACATTTTCAAAAGATGCTTTTCAATGTTAAAAGCCCCTACAGCTGCCCACAACAGCAAAAGAATGTACCAATGGGGTTTTAGAATACGTTAATGACATCTGTGTGTGATGTACAGAATCCACACACTTTACAGCTGCAAATACTCAATAAACCACCCAGTTCCATTTTCTTCATTTATTGATAATAGTTCGGGTGAGGCCAAGTGACTTGGTCAGATTTTGATACAATTTGCTGAGCAGAAGAGGTACAAACACAACCCCCGGGCCATTGCACATGGCTTTTAGCAACTCCTATGGTTTGATTCATACAATGTCAATAGCAAATGGTTTTAAAACTTTCTTGCCTGACATGTGCTTTGTCCAAAAATAAAAGAGAGCTAGGAAACACTATGCACACATATTATCACCAATTCCTCAGCCTTTCCTAGTTAGTCATGTAAGATTTTTTAGCAAATATTCTATATGTGAGTGACTATACAGCTTGATTAGCATTAGTAAGTGCTAAGTATACAAAACACTAATGAAAAAGATGGAATTTTTTTTTTTGACACAGGGTCTGTGTCATTCATACTGGCCTTGCAATCACTGTATAGCCCAGGCAGGCCTTGAACTCATGGTGATCTTCCTGAGTCAGCCTCCTGAGAGCTAGGATTATAGATGCTCAGAAAATGAAAATATTTTTTTAAAAGTTTTCAGAGGTACCTGAATGTTTTCTGAGGACTCTTGCCAATTCTTCAATAGTTCTTACACAGTCTAACCCCTGCAAGAAAAATGGTACAAATGACTGAATCAAAACTGGAGGATGGGCTGTTTAGTTTCTATTACCTTCAGAAATAATGAAATCAATTTCAACTCATTCTATGTACATTTTTCCCTCTTAGCTGAGTATCAGTATTCATAGAAAATAATCTGAAGACAAAAACTGCTGAACATCCTACATGTGGAGGTGCAGCAAAGGCTAAAATCAATCAGGAAGCCCACCAATCCAGAGCTTCCTGAAAGCCTCTGTCCCATGGGTGAGAACCTGGGTTCCTTCTATGTAATTCTCTCACTCAGAAGCACCTTTTCACCAGAACACGTAAGGGGAGGCTTCAGTGTCCCATCTTACTCATTCTGGGTAGACCTTCATTATAGTTTAATTAAGAGTTGATGACTCACTGTGGAAAGTGGTTAAGCTCACATTACTGCTCCACAGGACTAACCAAAATTATAATGTACCAAATTAAAAGTCATAATACAAAGTATTTCAAATAAATTACACCTAAAAAGGTTTTTTCTGCCCTTATCAACATAAGGTCTTTTTATGCCTATATACATCCCAAAACATATTTGGAACTTGACTTTAGAAATACCCTCAAAACTAATTTATAAACCATGTTAAAACAAAAACAAAAACAAAAACAAACCCACTGTAGCATGCCCTGTCATCTCAGCTACTCGGGAGGTAAGGCTGGAGGATCACAAGTTTGAGGACAGCCTAGGTACTGCGGATGTAGCTCAGTGGTAAAGTGCTTGCCCAGCATGCAGCAGGCCCTGGGTATCAGTACCACAAATAAATAGGGACTCAGCACTTCTCAGACTTTACCTTTATGTAGTTTTTATAAGTGCCTTCATATATGTCCAGAGATGGTAAACTCATTTTGTGGGCCATATGGTCTCTGTTACAACTATTAAACTCTGCAGTCACAGTGTGAAAGGAGCCACAGGTGAAATATAAATGAACGGGTGTGGTTCTATTCTAATAAAACTATTTACAAAAACTGGCTGTGAGCTGAACTTAGCCCACCAGCCAGTTTGCTGACTCCAGACCCATATGATTGTGTGCAACAATGCCTGAAGCAAGAGGAACCTAAATTTTTTTATTTTATAGATTTGTATCAAAGACCCCATGTCTAGATACTGACAAAACCAAATTTGTCTTCAGCCCACATCTCTGGACTATAAAGTTAGCATTCTTATCATTTACCACATTGCCTGCCTGGTTAAAAGAAATTATGAATGACTCTGTATGGCTGTATACATCCAAGTCAGTCTACGGCCAGGCCAGTGGCACAGTGGAGAAGCTGGTTTGGCTTTGTGGAATTCCCCAATGCTACTTTCTAATCCACTTATACTATAAATTGAAGGTACAAGGGTTTCTGTTATTCACAATTACCTTTAGGCTTCTTGGTGTATTTGGGTAGAGGGTGAGCCAAATACACACAAAATTTGCCCTGACAAATTTGGAAAAGACCAAATTTATACCAAGCTGTGCTCTCCATCACGATTGGTCAAATCACATTGCCATGGCAAAGGCAAGTTTTATGTGGTCACTGTACCTCAGCAGTTTCATGTCCATTAATTGTCATACAGACGTCAAGGTCACTCTGTTTGAACCCAAATCCATTTTTCGAGGAGCCAAACAAGCTCAATTTAGTTCCTGTTAGGGATATATGAAAAGTAATAAAGTAATTATCTGAATATATTTAATTTTTGATCAAAATAGCCTTCTCATGAATCAAAAATACCCAGTTGGTAACTATCCTAGCTCATAACTGTTTGCTTATAGTCAGTTATTCTAAAACATTTTTCTTTCAAAGTTTACTTTCACTAAATACACAAGCTATACACACCATGAAAGACTATTAGGTGCCATTTTATTCTTAAATGCAAGGGTATTTCAAAGAAAATGTAGATAATCTCAACATTTCTTTTTAAAGATGTGAACTTTAACCATAATACTAAGTGAAATTCACTTGTGGCACCTGCTAGGAGAAATCCTACATTGTTAATGTCTTCTCTTGGTAAACTATGATTTGGCATTGGATGAAACCACATCTGTGGTTTATTATAGAGCAACTGACCCCAATCACAACTGGGCCATCTCATTTTCAGAATTAATGTGTTCTGTATTAGGTCCTTATTTGAAAGGAGGGTCATATAATCCTTCTTTTCTTACAGATATTTAAACAATTACTTACCTGGAAAGTCTTGTCTTATGAAACTCTCTAGGTTTTGTCGAATATGTTCACGAGCCTGCTCTTCTGAAGTACTTGGAGAAAAATCCTCTGTTTAAGATACACACATTGAGTGGGGGAATAAAAAGCCAACATTCTTTGAAAACACTAAAAAATGCTTTTTTAGAAAATAAAACCTACAAGGTTGAAGGAAATAAAACCCTAAATTTTACACCTTCTAGGTAGATAGCATTAGCAATGTAAAATGAATAATGCATTTTGCTTGCTTGCTTCTTTTGTTTTCTTGAGCCAGGGTCTTGCTATGCAGCCCAGAAAGCCTTTGACTCCTTATATATCCCAGGCTGGTCAAATTGTGACCCTTCTACTTCAGTCTCCCGAGCATTAGGATTACAGGCATGCACCATCACACCTGGTTTGTCTGGTTTTTTCTCCAACACACAAGTCTGTCACCAAAAAAGTGTTCTTGAAATGAAATCTAATTTGGACAGAAGTTCTGCACCTGACTTTCCAGAGACTCCCAGGAAGCAAATACAAAACCGTGTGAGCACACCAATAGTTCTTTTATTCCCCTTAAACTTAAAAGAACCTACTTTTCTTTTATAGCTCTTAACCACCAAAAGGTTCATTTAAAAAGTCACTGGCTGATAGCTAGGGAATGCTGACACAACACATACTTTTAGACTCAGTTACCTGGGAGGCTGAAGCAGGATCGTTTGAGCCTATGACTTCAAGACAAACCTGGGCTACATAGTGAAACCCTGTCTTGAAGATGAAAAACAAAAAAATCCCAAAGAGCTGGTTAAGAACACTCATCTTGCACAGATGGACACCTCAAGATGCAGCAATGTGAGGCATCAAGCTGCAGCACTGGAAGCAGTGGAATGTCCTTTAGGTGATTTCTCTGTAGAACTTTAAATCTCTCTTACACTAGTGCTTCCTGAATTGGTGTTCCTTAAAGGGCTGTCATGTGGGCTATTTACTAGTGTTAAAAAGTATTCCATGCTCAAATTTTTGGAAATGTTAAAGAGTTAAATAGGGTAAAAGTTTCTTTACCATAACTTGCTCAGAAGCCTTTACTATGCTAATGTGCCCTAGAAATCTGCTAGTGAGATGGCAGAGGGTAGAACTATACCCTACTTAACCAGGGAGTACTTCTGCTCATGAATTATTGAGTATACCTACAAAAACATTTCAAGGAATAGCAATTGGGAAATGCTGATGGAGAACTCTCATCTTAAGACCTAAAAGAGAGGGGTGAGGAGGGGTGGTGTTAGAGCTGCTTACCAGATACAAGGCTGGGGGTTGTAAGTCCCTGCACAGGGTGGGAGTGTGCTTTAAGGACCTCCTTCCCTGTCTGTCTGTCTTTCACAATTAACTTACTGTGTGTTCCAAATGAGACAGCTAAGACATAAAACACTGTTGATACAATAGAGAATGAATAGTGCTTAGAGTGCTAAAAGGACAGTGACTCCGATGCTTCCTTAGTAAATGGCAATCTAGTATTCCGACAAATCAAGAGATGCAAATAACTTACTGTAACACTGGATGCAAACTTGATCTAAGATATATGAAAACTTGGGTGTTAGTGGTGGCAAAGGTTCCAGCTGGATTCTTTTGAAGTCTTCAGGACAGTCCTTTTTTAGATGGCCTTCTCGTTTACATAAGTTGCATACTACCGTGGGAGACTGCAAGAGTATGGGAAAGTGAAAAGAGACATATGATAAAACTTTATTTGCCAAATAAAGGGGAGCCTGAAATTTTTTTTAAAGCACACAGTAAAGCAATGAAGTATAATATATAGCCAATCCAAACACCCTTATTGTAACCTCAGGAGAAAAGGGTAGTTACTAACAGCATTCCCTTCCTTCTTTGTAGACTGCCACAAATCTTAAGAAAGGAAGTGGATCAAGCGGTGGTATTAGGACAAAAGACAAACATGTTAACTACAACCAAAAGGGAGTCTTATTCTGGTATTAAAACTGAAACTATATACATTAAAGTGATTTAGTCTCCTAATTTTCTTTTTTTTTGGTACTGGGGATTGAACTCAGGTCTTTGCGCTTGCACAGCAGGCGGCGAAACCACTGAGCTAAATCCCCGGCCCTTAGTCTCCTAATTTTCTAACAGTGGTACTGATTACCTTGCCTTTGGTGAAGATAAGTTTACTAAATTCATAGATGAAATCAGACTGATCCACAGGTGAATTTTCCTCTTGTGCCTTTTCCCCTTTAAGATTTATTTTATTAAGTTCCATGAGTAGAGCTCCATCTACATGTTTTCCACATTCTTTCAAGTCTTCATGGTTAGTAGGGCCAACTAATTCATCATCCTCCTCTTCAGACTGGGCATCCTCATCCCCTGATCCAGCATAGGTGTTGCCAAACTCATCTTCATTAGCAGTGCCATCCTCAGCTTCCCCTCGGTTAATGGTGAGTCTGGGTGGTTCCTCCTCCTCCTCCTCCTCCTCCTCTTCCTCCTCCTCCTCCTCTTCCTCCTCCTCCTCCTCTTCATCTTCCTCCTCCTCTTCATCAAACGGATTGATTTCTGATGTCTGGCCTTGGATTAAAGGGGCAATGTAGTCTACAGAGTCTTCTAGTTCACTGGCACCTTCTATACTTTCTTCAACATTGGTCTTACCATCTAAAGTAGAAAATCCATCACATTTTTTACCCATAGGATTCTGGAGGTCTTCTAACTCCAAAGCGCCATCTGTCTCATAAATATGTGTACTGCCACAGGCTACAAGCTCACCATACTTACTACTGCTTAGACTTTGAACATGGGTAGTCAAAGGACACTTGCCCTCCTTTTCGATTTTCTCTTTCTCATTTTTACTTCCTCTTTCTACTTGTCCCTGGTCACAGCTTGAGTCTTCTAGACAGATGGTGATATGGTCATTTCCCACTTCTTCTGCTGGTAGGCTTCCAAAGCTTTTTGTCATCTCTTTAAGAGACAGTGGCTGTGTCTTTCCGGTATTGGCAGTTGAAGTGGTAGTAGCACCAGGACTTTGAGTCAAAACTGAGTTTCTGAGCTTATCATCTTTTGGTTGTACATCTGGATCATAATTTACTACTTCTTTAGAATGTTCTGAAATACATGAAACTGGGCTGAGAGGCTTTGGAAGACTGGATTTTCCAACTTTGTGTGGAAGAGCAAAATATTTATATGTTGTCCTTAAACAATGAAGTATATATTCAAACACAGGTTGATTATTTAGGGTCCTTGCCACATTTCTCTTAACCGAGTAGGGATCTGTAACAACAACAAAAAAATTACTTCATATACTTCTATTTAATGTTTTAAAAATTAGCCTGTTGCAGGTAAAAATAGATAGCAAATAAGTAACAGTAAAATTTATCACATGCTTTAAAAAAATTAGAGGCGGAACTGAGAAGATACAGTTTAAGAACAAAACACAATGTTTTCTGAAACATCAGTTTTCTGAAGAGAACCTGCCCTGCTCAGAACCAATACCCCTTCCCTCTTCTGCTGTAACTGGGGAAGTATGACAGATGGCATCAGTGCGGCTTTTATGCCCTTGGGAAGAAGGTCTTCCCAGCAGGCTTTGCAGCTGAGTGCTCTACTTGCCCTCAGCCACGCCTGAGGTTTGTGGAGCTTACCTCCATTCTTTCGCCCTGGGAAGCCCCAACACTGAATTGGCTGGACTGAATTTCTGGGGTGAGAGGGAGGCACCAGGAGGAAACACCATTTCTCTCAAACTTTTCTCCTCCCCTAGAACTCCAGCAGGTTAGACCATTGGCCAGAAGAGCTGAGCCAGAGAAACTGCAGGGGAGGGTTTAAAAATGTGAGATCCCCATGACTCCACACAGAATTTATGTAAAATGCAAAAACCCTCTTATGCAACATAAAGCTTGAAAAAAATCAAACAAAAATAAGAGAATTCCATTGAGGAGATTCTTTAAATTATGTAAAGGAGGAGAATTAAGATTTTTAGAGGGGCTTCAACCTCCTGACTCTGCATAGCTGAGAAGACCTAATTTATTTAAGTGACAGGTACAGGGCACATCAGTGTGTCTTTGATACAACGATTTCAGTTCAGTGAGCCTTCACTAAGTGCTTTTATGAGTAAGTTACTGCATATTATTTCAAAAATAACAATTGATTCCCTCTATTAGAGTGTTATCCAACTAAGAATATCAGTTTCACAAGAAGAAAGTTTTCCTCACTCTGTAAAACTAAGTAACACCAAAACAATTGATGAAAGGAGACTATTTAGAAATCTAGAAATGAGAACAGTAAAAAAGGGAACTTATAGATCACTGGGAACAATTGCAAGTTGTAAAGGAGGGACCCAGCTAGCCATTATTCAGGTACTTAACAATTAAGATATCTTATGATGGCACTTAAAAAAACCAGAAAGAACTCTTTGGCTCCTTGGAAGGACCCAGTGTAGCAAATGCAAGATTATATTTATTTTACCTTTAAGGTCAGGCCTACCCTTACAAGTAGGAATTGAAAAGAGACTGAAATAAAAAGCATGCTGTTAGACTGCAACCTTAAGAAAAAAAAAAAAAGAATTAAACATTTTGAGATACCTTCAATGGCAATGCGCTTTTTAGGCCAATCCTTTGATTCCCGAGATATTGATTCTTTGACACGAATACTTATCACTAAATCAGCCAGATTAAATTCTAAAGCATAGAATCGCAGCAACTCCACCCAGAGCTGCCCAACTGGTACTGAAGGCTGGTGTTTTACTTCAAACGTTAATGACACCTATTAATGGCAAAGAGAACATACAGATTATTTCAGATGTCAGCTCACTCTGAAAAACTAGAGATTATTCAAGCATCAAATTAACAAAATCTGAAAAATCTTAGAAAAGATATGAATTTGACAAGCCACCTAAATAAATCAAAGGTTCTATTTCGCTTGGGATGAATAGCATCACTTCGCTGCACCCCTGGGATCAGAGTATGTTACAGTCCAGCAATAAATCATAGGAATAGAGCTATTTATTTTCCCATGCAGCACATCTAATTCTGATCTCTAACAGGTAGAGGCCTGCGCACTGTTTGCTAATATTCTCAGCATGGGCCTCTTCCTGTCACTGCTCCTGGAGGGCACTTTTATAGGTATGGACACATGACTAAAGGACAGAAAAAGGAAGAACACTCTTCTCATTGGCCAGATATGACACATAAGCACACTAAATCTGCTGGTGGCAATGAATTTTAAAGTCAAATAGCTCCTGATATCAGAAATTGATATTAGTTCTAGAGTCACAGACTTTCGACAAGTTTGAACAGCACACTTGGTATAATATATTGGAATATTTATAGGACTTAGGGGAAAAGAAAAGCCCAGTGACTCTGCCACTTCACATCTCTTTACTGCTCTGTAATTCAGCTTGTCCATTCTCAGACTAGTTGCACAGAACAGTGGCTAAAAGAACTGGCTTTGGAATTAGGACAAGCTTAGTTTGAAATCCAAACTCTGCCAAGTACTAGCTGTGCATAATCCTGGTCATGATCTATGACCTGTCTAAGACCTGTTTCCTCATCTGAAAAATGGGGCTAACAGTACCCACCTCATAGGGTTGTTGGGAGGACTGAGTGAGATAGTATCTGTAAAGTGCTTAGCACAGTGCCTGGCACACACTGTTCAAAAAATGGTCGCTATCATTATCTGCAGAGTAGGGACGGTACCACCTACAACACAGGACAGTTACTGGATTAAATCAGAAGCAAGGGAAAGCGTCTGGCAGACTCGGCTGCTCTCTGTATTTTTCACTTACATATAGTCTTTTTAAGTACAAGAAATCCATACATCATTGAAACATAATGTCACACTGTGAGATGCTCTTAAGAGGCAATCTAGCTCAGCTTGTGTACAGTACTTGTCACAGATCACACTGCTCATCAGGGTAAGAATGAGTCTCTCAATCACAGGCCAAATGAAACTTCCACAATGTCTAGAGCTCATTTAATTTCAGAAGTGGCAGCATAATTAATCTCTCCCATACCATAAAAATGTAAAATTAAAGCAATAAGTGGACTTAGAGCAGTAGCCTTTTCTTCACATTATTACTATCATTCACATTGAAAAAATTTTTCCCTCTAAGGTATACAAATTTGTCTCTGATCAGTATTTATATCATGCTTCAAAATAAGTAGTATGATAGTTCATTAATCAGTAAATCTCAACCACAAAGGCTCTCATCTGCTGGATTTACAAGGCAGAACTGATTGAAAATGGAAGTTGTCTAGGTCCCAAACAATACAGTTGAGGACACAAAGAAAACCCCCAGAAATCCAAAGTTTTCTGTTTTACCTCTTTATCCATGGGCTTTTTCAGCTTTACAAAGGATTTTTTTTAAGCATCTCACAAAATGACTTGAAAATACTGTAACGTGGAGCTTCAAAGACCTTCAAAATATTTAGCATAATGGCACTTAAACTGTTTTTTGAAAAGCAGAGAACATTTCTTTTTCAGGTAAAGTAAGAATTGTAGCTAATATTTACTGAGTGCTTACCATATGCTTGGCACTGAGCTAAGCATTCTATAGATCAGTGACCCTAAGACAGGCACTAACAGGATCCCCATTTCTAAGGAGGAAACCAGTGAAGGAGGGTTAAGGAACTTGCACAAAGACACACAGCTAGGAAGTAGGAGAGCTGGAACATAAGTTCACATATTGTGGGTTCACAGCCTGTGCTCAACTGGAACCCTGAAGAGAAAAAAGATAAAAGTGGTGCTATGCTGTTGGCAGCAGCACTGCATAAGGATTCTGGAAAATATAACTGGAGAATCTTTCACCACTGTCTCACTTCAGGCATGAGGAGTGGAAGGGAGCAGTGACAGGACCCATTATTGTAGAGCTGGTGCTGGAATCCTGGTCTCAGAAGTATTTTGTGAATACTACTGTCATTTTACTCCAAAGGGTTATAGAAAACTCATGGGGTCAGGGACCTTTCAACATTTTGGGACAGAACTCTATTCTTATCATCAGTATAATTACATTGCACAGAGTTTTGTTTGAAACTCTACTGGCAATTCTTTATGTATAAATTCCCTTGTGCAACCTCAATAGTACATTAAGTCATATACTTTTTCACAGTTATTTTAGTAATTTGAAGTTATCTTTCCATACGTTAAAACTTCATAATACCATCTGAGACCTGAGCTCTTTAGAGGATAGATAGGGATTTACCTCTGAACTCTCAGTATCCTTTTCAAGGGTTCTGTATATGAAGGAAACCACATAAATAAATGGATTTTGTGATCTAAATTTTACCTTTTTTCACTATTGGTCTATTTAAGGGACTGAACAGACTAGGACACAAAATAGCCACCAAATAGATAAGATAGTTAAGGAAAGAAGACAAGAAGACTAGTTAATCTATAAGCCCCCCACTTAACTGAAGTAAATATCAATGGTAAAACCAGTAGGGAGAGATAACAAACCTGCCCCCTTCTGACAGGCATTTCTTTTGGTGCCTCTTCTTTGGCTGCGTTTGTGTCCCCTGCAGCATTACTGGTATATTCCCAGATCACAGAATCATCCTCTATGGCTTTAAGGTTGAAGTTCCCTAGTTTGTTTAATGAGAATCCATCAACCTAGGAAAAATTAGGCAATTATAAGGTAGAAACGGTTTTGTATCAACTACAGCATATTAAAATCGTGGAAGAAATGAAAAGTTAATGTAGTTCATGGAAAATACAGGTATCATTTAATGACTATCTGACATATATGAATACAAAAATAGTTTTTAAAGTGAAATATAAGATTTTGACTTAGAAAAGAAATGGTAACTTTGTGAAATAATTCTTTAGCAAATAATTCTTTAGCAATTATTCTGGGCTGGGGGTGCAGCTTGGTGGTAGAGCACTTGGCTGGCATCATAGGAGGCCTTTGGTTCCATCCCCAGCATTGTGGGGAAGAACAGTGTGCCCTAGTGGTTGAAGCTGTGAGTTCTGCAGTAAAACCAATGGGCCCTAAATCTTAGCTTCCTCATGTGACTTTGGATAAAAGATACTCATTTTCTTTAGGCATCAACTTCCTATAATAGGATGGGATAACACTAGAGCTTTATTCATGGGAATATATGTGAGATGAGATATCTAGTTTTAGTATATAGCATGTAGAAATGCTTAATAAATGTAAGAAATGATCTTCACATATATTGTGAAGAGATGCAGTTATAAAACTATATCTTCCTACTTAGAAAATAATTTTAAATATTATTAATCCTGGATTAAGTTCAGAATTCCAAGGTACATTTTGTTTTTGCTTTTTTGTTTTTGGTACCGGGGATCGAACTTGGGTCCTTGCGCTTGCACAGCAGGTGGTGAAACCACTGAGCTAAATCCCTGGAGGTGCGGTACATTTTGTTTTTGAGACAGTCTCACTATGAGAGTTCAGGCTAATCTTGAACTTGTCGTGACCCTCCTGCCTTAGCCACTGAGGTGTATGTCAGCACATTCAGCACAAAGCACATGCCAATAATGAGCATTAATGAAAAGAAAATCGTCTGGGCTCAATAGCTCTGAGAAATGTTGACCAGAGCTGATTGGGCCTTTTTATTATATGACGAGACTCATCCCAATGAGACCTACACTGGATAACAAACAGACTAAGCTGTGTGTGGGTGCAATGTGCTAACTCGTTGGCCAAGTGCATTTCCACCCCACTCAGGCCACACTGCAGATGCATGCACCTCATTTAGGTGCTCGTCTATTATCTTTTCTTTAATTAGCTTCCCATTTCTCACTCTTCTAACCCTACTTCATTTTTCCTCAGAAATATTACTGCCCCTTGATAGGCACTTATTAATCTTCCTCAACCCACTGGATGGTAATCTTGAGAGTGAGGATTTTGTTGTTTGTTCTAGCACCCAGAATTTTAGCTGGCCAGGGTAAATTCTCTGCAAGGACTTTGATGATTTACAGAATGAAAATATTCTTCCAAGAAAATACCTGAGAAAATATGAGGTGTGGCAATTGCTTATTAGAACTACACATTTGATAGTTCCTTCAAGTTGATTGGTTTTTGGTTTTAATAAGGTTTTTTTGAATAGTTAAGATGTGTAATTACATTGCACAGATTTTTGTTTGAAAGTCTACTGGCAATTCTTTATGTATAAATTCCCCTGTGTAACCTCAATAGTACATTAAGTCATATATTTTTTCACAGTTATTTTAGTAATTTGAAGTTATCTTTCCATACATTCATACCATCTGAGACCTGAGCTCTTTAGAGGATAGAGGGATTTACCTCTGAACCCTCAGTATCCTTCCAAGGGCTCCGTACATGGAGGAAACCACATAAATAAATGGACTTTGTGCTCTAAATTTTAAAGTTAAAGTTCAATCAAGTTAAATTTATCGGTATTTTATTTTTATGGACTTATTTCACATTTTTATTGTTCTAAGAAATCCTGGCTACAAAGATCATTCTGGCAGTTTCCATTTAGATCTTTCACTCATTTTGAGTTAATTCTGGGAAATGCTGTAGAATAAAAGTTTACTTTCTTTTCTTTACTGATATCCAGTTTGGTTGTATCATTTATTGAAGAGATTTCCCTCTTCCCAAAGGACTGCTTAGGTACCTTTGTCAAAAAGTGACTGATTACCACACAGAACAAGGTTAAGTCTTTTAATCCCTGAAGCCTTGGTGTATTTCTACACTGACCTACGCGTCTTATTGTATTCTTTCAGGATTCCCTACAATATTCAGTTTAAAAATCTTGTATATCTTGTATTAAATTTATTCTTAAATATTGTATGTTTTCTGGCATGACTGTTAATGTTTTTGTTTAATTATTTTGTTTTGAGAGAAGGTCTTGCTAAATTGCCAGGTTGGCCTCGAACTCACGTTTCTCCTGCCTCAATCTCCTGGAATGGATGGGATTAAATAGTTATGCCACTGTTCCTGGCTCAACAGAATTATTAAAACTTCATTTTCCAATTGTTTGCTGCTAGCATATACAAGTACAACAGACTTATTTATGAACTTTGCATTCTATGATTTTATTAAATTTATTTTCATTCTAGGAGTTGCTCTGTACTTTTCTTAGCATTTTCCATTTAAAAAATCATGTCACCGGCATGTAGAGCAAGATTTACTTCTTCCATTTATATTTTTATGCCCTTTCTTTTCTTTTCTTATTTGCAATGGCTAAGATCTTCTAAAAATGCTGAATACAAAAGGGATTGAGGGGTGTCCTTTGTTCTTAATAACACAGGGAAACATCATTCTTCCACCATTAAGCGCCATGTTAGCTATAGATGGTTTTCACAGATGTCTGCTTTCAGGTTGAAGAATGTCTCCCTTCTGTTCCAAGTTCCAGAGCTTTTAGTATAAAAGAACACTGTTCAGTGTTTTGTCCTCTCTACATGTTTTCATGAGCATACACCATTCTCATTGTATCACAATGGAAGATTAAATGATTTTCCTGGAGAGGTCTCAGTTGGTTGTTATACATCCATTTTGTATAATTTTTTTGTACACATATTTCTGATTTGTTTTTTTTTTTTGGTACTAAGGACTGTAGCACTGAGCTATATCCCCAGTGCATTATCTATCTATCTATCTATTTACTTATTTTTACTTTTTTGGTACCAGGGATGGAACTCAGGACCTTGTGCTTGCAAGGCAGGTGGCAGCACCACTCGGCTAAATCCCTGGCCCTATTTATTTATTTTTTTAATTGTGAGACAAGATCTCACTAAATTGCTTGGTTGGGCTTGAACTTGTGATCCTCCTACTTCAACCTTTCAAGAGTGCTGGGATTATTAAAGGTGTGCACCACCACGCCTGGCTTTCTTTTGAGTTAATTTGCCATTATTTTGCTAAGGGTTTTAATATCCATGCTCATGAGGGATACTTGTATATAGTTTTCTTTTTAATGTCTTTGGTGTGTGTCAGGGTAATTAAAAAAAATTTTATTAGTACAGGTTTGCAGCACATAATGATTACATTCATCACAAGGAGTTGGTACATGTATAGAACACATGTTAATTCTTTTTATGCTCCCTTCCCCTCTCCTCCCTCCATCTCCTTCTATCATGGTCATTTTGGTCACAAATTTTTATATTCTGAGTTTATATAAAATTGGCATTTTTCTTTTCCGTAAATGTTGCACAGAATTCATCAGTAAAGCCCTGGGTCTGGGGTTTTCCTTTGTAGGAAGGTTTTTAATCGTGAATTCCATTTCTGCAGTGGCTATAGAGTTATTTAGATTGTTTTCCTTGACTGATCTTTTTATATTTAGTCTTACAAAGAATATGTATACTTTAGGATTTATAATTCACTGGTACAAAATTCTTATAATATTCTGTGAAAAATAATATTCCCTTTTCATCCATTTATGTCTATAGGATTTAAAGTGAAAATCCTTTCATTCCTTATATTATTAACTTACGTTCTTTTTGGTTTTTTGGGGGGAAGCACCACAGGGGATCGAACCCAGGCCTTTTTTAGGAGAGCTAGGCAAGTGCTCTATCACTGAGCTATCCCAGCCTATTCTGTTTTCACTAAGTGGGCCATGTTGACCCTGCACTTGGATCTCCTGCTTCAACCTCCGGAGCAGCTGGGATTACAGATATGGGCCATCATATACTTAGCAGTGCTCTCTTTTTAAAAAATCAGTCTATCAACACAAAACAAAAAACAAACCCTGAGATTGGATTTCCCTCTCCCCTCCCCTCCCCTCCTCTCTTCTTTTCTGGTACCGAGCATTGAACTTGGGACCTTGAGCTTGAAAGGCAGGCGGCGGCAACAATGAATTAAATCCCGAGCCCTCTTTTCTGTTTTTGAGATGGAGGTCTCACTACGCTGCCCAGACTGGTCTCAAACTGGTCTCCAATATGTGAGCTCAAGTGAGGCTCCTGTCTCAGTCTCACAAACAGCTGAGACTACAGGACTACAAATGGGTACCTTGTAACTAGCCTAAACTTGATGTTACTGATCAAAGAGACAGTCTGGCATTGCTAATTTTCTCTACTGTTAGTCTGCTTTCTATGTTTTTTTTTTTTGGCAGTACCAGGGATGGAACTCAGGACTTTGTGCTTGTGAGGAAGGCATGATGCCACTTAGCTATATCCCCAACCCCACTCTCTATGTATTGACTGCTCTCTCATCTTACTATCTACTTCCTTCTACACGCCTTGGGTTTCTGATTTTTAGCTTTTTGAAGTCAAAGGGCCTTGATTTTTTTACCTTTCTAAAGTTTAAACTGACACAAATTTCTCTGTGTAAACTATTTTACTGAATCTCACAAACTCTTTTGTAAGAGGGTCTTGCTATCTTGCTGAGGCTGGCCTTGAGCTTCTGATCTCAACTGACCCTGCTTCAGACTTGAAGAGCTGGGATTACATGTCTGTAATTACTATGCCTGCCAAGTAGTTACAAATATTTTCTAATGCCTACGTGATTTCTACTTTGACCCATAAATCACCTGGATGTGCATTAATAACCAAATATATACAATTTTAATAAATATCTTAATAATTTATATCTATATAAATTCTAATTCCACTGTGGTCAGAGGGCATTACTTTTAAGTGTATTTCAACTTCTTCTATTTATTTATTTTTGGTTTTTTGAGACAAGGTCT